TTTTTAAAAATTGTCAAATTAAAATACTTGAGGAAACATACATCATGATATACACGTCATTCATAAAGAAAGACTGATAATTATGCATTAATAATAATGTGATGTGACGGTGTGTTTTGGATCCTGTATGTCTGAGAAAGAACTGTTTCGCCTAAACTCACCTCTCAGAGGAATCCACTTTTATTTTGAGGAAATCGGCATCAAAAACAGACTTAAAAAATTCAAAACATTATGGCTCCTGTATCTGTGAAAAATTGTTGCTGTAAATTTTGAGTACAATGGTAATATAAATCCACACAAACCATGAAAACTTTCGGATGCACATCATTTTGTTTCTTGGCAATATCTGAAGCATCCAATAAATACCTGACTATAATGTTGAACACCCTGTCTAGCTCATATCTCTCTGTCAGGTATTTTTATACATAAGATGAAAGTGTGTCTTATCATGTTTGTAGCCTACTGTAAACCCTGGTCAGCTGTTATGCGCTAAGTCAAACTAACGTCTCTTCCTTCGCTCTGGTTTTTCACATAAACAAAATGATGTTATTACTTACTTACCCTCATGTCATTCCAAAACTGTATGACGTTTTTACCTTTTTAGAACGCAGATGCAGATATTTTGAAGAATTGTCCGTGCAATGAGCGTCTTAAATTTGTTGTCTTGTACATGAATAAGATCACTCTTTGTGTCTCTATATGGAATGCTCCATCCTTTTCAACTAACCTTCAAAATAAAAAATAAAAAAATGTTCTTAGATTTTACTGGTGTGAAATAATAAATATATTTTTTGAGGGGTTAATTACTTCTGTGCCTATAAAAAAACAACACTTGATATTTTATAAGATCACTGTCCTTGCAGTAACCACAACCATTATTCTTATCTTTAGACCTCGCAGCTTAATGAGTATATTATACAGAAATCTCAATGTATTAAACTGATGACCAAACTGTGGCGTATTTTGGCCACCACTTCATTAGTATAAGTGCATGAGTTGGGGTGTAATAACATTAGCGCATAGAACAGGTGAGCATATGTATGAATGTATAGATGTTTGTCTTTGTAAGTCATGACATTGTTTGAGGAGCCTACAGTTGTGTTGGCACCTCCAACGGCTGCATTTTCAGATCAGATGGGGCAGCTTATGTGAGGTCCCAGAGGGTGGCGTGACCCCAGGGAACATTAATCAATGGCTTTGACAGGAGTGTGGCTTCACCAGCATGACTTCAAGGCCATTCTGTTGCTCAGCACTGTCATGAGTTTGTGCTGGCTCTTCAAGCTATTTGCCCAAGCATTTGATAAGGCCCCACATGACCCAACTAGTGGACTCCAACAAACACTTACAGACAGATCCCAATAGTACTCAGGATTCAGATGTTTTGTAAAAAAAAAAAAATGTGATGTAGGGGGTAAAACTCTTGAACAAAGCACCAACCGGAAACTCAACGGCAACTGCCCTTGTAAAAAGTATTAAAAAAAATTCCCGGCTGACATGTAAAGCAGCAATGTTGATATATCATCTGTCATGATGAATTATTCACCCTCATGTATTCCCAAACACGTAAGACTTTCGTTAATCTTTGGAACACAAAAGAAGATATTTTTTTATTAAATCTGAGAGCTTTCTGTCCCTCCATTGATGGCTATGCAACTACCACTTTGATGCTTTAAAAAGTTCATAAAGAGATTGTAAAACTAATCAATATGAATTAAGCGGTTTAGTTTAATCAGCAAACATAAACAGAAGTTCAGCCGAACCTGCTTGACATGATAGAACAAACCTCATTGGTTCTTGCTGGTTGTTGCGTAACACGAGAATGAACCTCATAAGCCCCTTTCACAGATTCCGGAAAATACACAGATAATGTGACCCGGTATTTGTCCTGGTATTGTTTGATTTCGGTTCATTCACACTGCCAGTGATTTTCCGGGATCTGTGAGTGCGTTCACACACAACCCGTAAAGATCCCAGAAAGACACATGACGTCAGGAAGAGACGTGTAACGTACGCGTCGAAAACATGTACACACGCATACCGTTCCACAAAGCTGGTAAATGATCTCAGCTTCAGCGTGGATAGTGAGGAGCTTCTGGTCTCTGCTTCGTTCCATTTGTTCATCCTTTCTTTGTAGATGATGAACACAAACTTTCTTCTAAGAGCAACAGGGTCGCGTGATGGCACGAGCGGCATCACTATGACACACCCCTTACGGCATTGGTCCTGGCTTTTGTTCACCCAGCGCGCGTTCCAGGACTGATTCCGGCAATGTTAGGTCCCCAACCCGGCATCGATGTCGGTATCAATCCCGGGTCATGTTTGCGTTCACACAGAAGGCGTTCTAGCAATTTCCCGGCAATTTCCCAGGATCAACGCGCTGTGTGAAAGGGGCTATTGTTTCTTGGTGAAGCTCAAACGTGCTGCGTAACACATGAGAATGAACCTCATTGGTTCTTGCTGAAGCTCAAACATGCTGCGTAACACATGGTATCTCGTAACAATGAGTAACACATTGGTATCTCCCGTAATAAGACCATCTCAGTTACTGCTTAATTGTTCCAGAACATGTGTAGACCCCTTTCTAACTTTCAGGTTTGCAACGTAGAAGTAAACAATAGAAAGGCAAACTTCTGATTGCGTTTTAAGGAAATTTTGTAACTTTTGTTACTCCGACATGACATGAGGTCACAATTTACATGTGCAATAAATGGGAGAACACAGCAAATAATTGTACTTTTTGAGTTCCCATTTGCTCCAGCAGTAAAATATAAAATACAGAATTGCATTTAAATGACTATGGATTACTGTATGCTAATCAGAGGAGAGAGATATACAGTAGGTAACATCCCTTGGCAGCTTATTAAAAATTATACTGTATAAATCAAAGTGTACAGTGTAGAGTTAAAATGTACACCAAATATAGTTACACTTTATTTTGAAGATGACGTGGTTACATTGTACTTACTCAAATAAGTACTGAAAAATACTATTTAACATGTACTTATTATAGAGTTAGATTTGGTTTATGGTTAGTTGTAATTATTTATCAATTACTGTTATTACTGCAGTACACATCCGTCACCTTAAAATAAAGTGTTACCCAAAATATTTGTATTGAGCAACTATATTTAGGATGTATATCAAGGTCAACAATTGTCATCACTCATTGTGTGGAAAACAAGTATTGCTTAATTGTTCAGCAATATACAAGTAAATTGTTTTCACAGTGGTTAGTGCATCAACAATGCACCATAACAGGTATAGTATGTTCATCCATTTAATAGTTCACACCTGCGTCATTCTAATACACCTCAGTTGGGTGTGGAGCGATGCGATGAAGCTCTTGCTTTATGAAAGTGACTTTTGAGTTGCAATCTCGAAATTCAAATCATGCCACTTGTTTTCTATGGCTATTACATCATGGAGCCTGCCAAGGCCATCAATCCCATTGCTTACAGAAGGTTAACATGTCATCTACCATAACGCCGGCTTCAGCACTTTAGTGGGCGTCTCACACTTTGCACCAATCCAGCAAAGCCTGAGATGTCAGGGCTGATGACAAACAGCCATAATCACAGAACTGTTCTCAGCGAAAATCATCACTCCTCTCGGGGCTTACATTGTGAGCGTGCAAGTCACCTGCACCTTTGCATATATATTTCTCTCTCGTAAAATGCACTTGAGAACTGCTGACAGTCAAAACTATCTCAGATTTTCAAATGATCCCATACATCATGGTTCAATTCAACCTATAGCTCAAGATGAATTTGGATCTACATGCACTGAACAAGCCGAACAACTGCATGGTGTGCAAATCGCAAGCATTCAGCTTAGGTGTTTAGATGATGTGATCCCTTTGGATCACGACCTTTACACATTACTCTGCTCTGAAAATCAGATCTATACAGTTCTCTGAGGCTCGGCATGCTTTGATGCCTGTCAGCTGAGAAATGCACTCGCCTGCCTTCAAATGCAGTGTTGACACACACACGGACACAGACAAAGTGCTCGGACCACTCAAGTTCTTAATGTCAGGATCTGACCTTGGCTGTACATTCCAAACCACACTGAGTTCTAGTTCTTTGCTGGCCAATGGCTTGGTCACTTAATTATGCAGTGATATGGAATTGGTTTCCTTTTAAAAAAAAATAAAAAATTAGACATTATGATCATCTGTTCCTTTTTGTGTCATTTCTGGTCAAAAGCCACTGAGTTGCTTCGGGTTCACACCCACAGACAAAGTCTAACTATCTGCAGCATCTAGCCAGCTTCTGCAAAAATCTATTGAAGCAGATATCAAAGACAAAAAAAGACAAAGCAATGCCATCTAAAAGCTTTTTTCAAAACATTCTGGCTTGTATTGGAAAAAGCAGGTGAAGGATTTACACCTTTTTTTTCTCTGTTTTCTGCATTTTGAGGTCTGCTTCGCAGATTGTTGCAGTGAATTTTGGGAAGACAGGAGCGCTGTGCGTGCTTCTAAATACAGAAAGAATGAAGAATGTTTTAAGCTCAGTAGATCAAATTCAGAAATGTCATTTGATTAGCTCTTTGGACATTTTTGTCTAAATATTTTCACATTTCTGAAGCATTTCTGGCAACGCTTTAAAGACTTCAGGTCTACAACACAATGAAAGGTAAAACATCTTGAGTCTAAAACTGTGCCTACGAGAAGTCCAGGTTAAGCGATCATGATATAATATTATATCATATCATATCATATCAAATCATTTCATATCATATTTATTTATATTAGAAGTTGGTTAGTTTCTAAATAAATGTAAAAAAAAAAAAAAAAACGTTGCTGCCTTATTTTTTGTATAAGTACAATCAACTTGGATGTTTAAGTAATTTCAACTTAAATTACATTAAACTGACTTAGTTAAAATTAGTTGAATCTTGGTCAACTTATTTTTTAAAAAGTTGAAAATGTAAAAACATACAGTATGTTGTCATAACTGATAGATCATATCATTTTTTACATGTATTAGTTTTATTAGATTTTGATCGTTGGTTATATTGTAAATTTAGAATATTATAATAATATTAATTTTACCTTTTATTGATTCTTGTTGAGTATACCAATCTTTTTTAAGTTATACCCAGCGATTTCTGGATAAAACTGGATTGACAATTGATTACCACAATATTTGTAGAAAATTCTCATGTCACAGTCTAATAAAGAGACCTTTTTCAAGCAAGGGACAGGGCTTGTTATTTAGATGGAAGTATAATGCTTTAGTTGGATAAAAAGGTTTCCCATGCCGAAGATGTAACAAACTTTCCATAACATCATTCATAAGATAAGATAAGCAGAGTGGATAATGACAGCATCAGTCTCATCTGCAGCTTTATGTGAAGGTCACACTTTAACCCTGGCATAGAAATCAGCAACTACTTTGTAAATCTGTGCACAATTCACAGCCATTTTACAAACATCTCTTTCTTTAATTTAAGAGTTCTCATTTTCAGAAGAGACACTCAAAGGATTATTAGGAGTGAGTGAAGAGTTTCTCCATATTAGAGTGAGCATGGGATAGGTCTGCTCCAATGACCTAGAGCCACATGCCATGTAGCCGCTGGGTTATGCAGGTATTTCAACCATGTAGGTGTTTAAATCAAAGTCGAGTGGGAGGCCGGGAGGGCTTGTTGTGAGACTAAGTTAGGTGGGGAGGGGGAGTCTTTGAAATATGGTTGGGAGAGCGCATGTTATCTTTTCTCCTCGCCATTAGACGTCCAGGTTTGGTGTGTCATTGGTTGCAGCCCAGAGCTGGCACCAGCTCAAAGGGGATGTTGAGAAATGCTGCCCATATGGTGGCACTATAAAATCTAGCACAGATCCCAACCAAAGACAAGGATCTGTTCAGGACGCCAGCACAGCATCAATTCAAAAAACACATTTCCCACAGCACCTGAGGATTTTTGCTCTCCAATACGCCAAGGAGACCAGGACCAGTTGCTAAAAGGGGTGAGTGTTCATTTTAAGTTTGTGGCCATAAGGTTGAGCACTTGTAATTTCATTAGTGGTGGCAGATTAAGTTATTAAATAAATTAAAAGCAGTGTCTTTTCAAAGCATGGGCCCTGTATTATTGATCTTGCTATAGATTGTTTCATGTCGACTGTTCTGTTTGGCCTTTTTTAGGGAGGTCGGATTTATTATGAATATTCTGCGTCATGTTATGGTCCTGCTTCTGCTGGGAGTCATTTCTTGCCAGAACAACAATCGCAACGTCAAGCCGGGTGGAAAACCTGCTAAGAAGCCTAACAGCCAAGCTGTAGAGGCAACCCAGCATGGCCCTGAAGATGACCCAAACCCTGGGCTGGCAGGTGCTGCCGATTCCAGTAAAGAAACAAATCCCGGAGGTCGCGGCGCCAACCAACAAAGCGCATCTGTCAACAAGCCTGTGGATGAAATGAAGCTGTACTTTCTTAAAAACACATTAGTGACGTGCAACGACGGTACTGCTGCTGGGTAAGACACAACAATGATATCTTCACTGTTAGCCAGAGGTGCATTTAATAAACTTGGCAATTTTCAGTTTTGTACTGTATTAAACTCCATGTGTCATGTCAATGACTTGTAAGACCTACATTAAATATTGGTCCTTTGACCGTTTTGAAAATGTCCTCATATGGTCCTCATGTGTTTTCCCCACACCATCTATATTTATTTGTGCCCCACAGGTTTTACCTAAAGGAGTTCAAAGGAAGTAAGAGATGGCTGATATTTTTGGAAGGTGAGTATTTTAAACAAAGTTAATTTTGTCGAGAGAGGTCAGCGGGCTTAAATGCGGTGCTCTGCGTTATTTTGACTGCTGGTCATCTTCTTAGACATGTCATTTTTCTTGCTTTTGCGGAGCACGTCACATCACGCTGGTTCACCAGGATGTCGAGAAGATATAGTTTCACTGGACAAGAAAAGTCACATGCAAAGTCAAAATTAAACAATACAAGGAGAACAAGGCGAGAGCACATAAATAATGCAACGTCTCTCAACAAGAGGAAGTGACTTTAAATGGATGGGGAGGGACTAATAAACTTACTAAATACGTAATTGTAACAATAATAAGCCGTAACTGTTCTAACCGGCTGATGTGGATTAATTGGACTGTTTTTGTTAAAATAATATATTACTTTGACTTTTTACCAGAACATAAGGGAGGAATCACAAGTTAAATACAGCAAATTTGTGTCAATATTCAAACTGTCTAAACTTTTGAAGTCTGCACAAAGGATGACTGTGTGTGGTTAATTCCAATTAATCATATTTAGGTGGCTGGTGCTGCTACAACAAAGAGACCTGCGATTCTAGATACAAAGCTGTCCCCCGACTTATGAGCTCCACTGACTGGCCTCAGACACGCAAAGGTATAGGCTGATATTAACCAGACACACATCTGCTAGCAAGCCATATTTCAGTGATTCTTAATAAAAACAATTATTTGCAGGGAGTGGTTTGCTATCAACACAAGCTGATGAAAATCCTCACTGGTATAATGCCAATATTGTGTAAGTTTCTGAGAAATTCAAGAGTGAGATTTATATCACCTATAATCAACGTCTAACTGACTTATCTTATCTGATATATCTTATGTAACTAGGTTTGTTCCCTACTGTTCAAGTGATGTGTGGAGTGGTAACAAAGCAGCCTCGAAATCCAAACAGGGAAAAGAAACAGGTACATATTTCAGCGATACATTTGGTCTGACCATTACCATTTTTGTTACCAAAATTAGGATGCTCTATTTCTTTAATCCGCCATAGAATATGCTTTCATGGGATCTCAAATCATTCGGGAGGTGATCAAAGATCTTGCCCCGAAAGGACTGAAACAAGCCAAAGTTGTGATGTTGGCAGGAACGAGGTGAGATCTCACTGGCTGTGTAACCAAACTTGTTTGATCTATGTTCCTCAAATGGATTTATAGTAAAATATAGATTCATTAATAGTATTGATCCCTAAATACAGTGAGCTTTTTGCATTGGCCCTTTAAGAACTATAATTATTATAATTCCCACAATTGGATTTGAATTCACTTATAAACAGACAACACTAGCAACCATTACACCTGTTGCTGCATATTGAGATCTAATAACAAGATGCTATGAACAATTGAAACAGAGCCATCTGGATTGCCATGAAATCCTATTCCAGTCCATGGACCACCCCTTGAGTTTTACCTCCATGCACTGACCGAAGCACTATTTCCAGCACATCCTGTTGTCTACCATTTTTAACTGCAGCCTATAATGCTATATAGACAATGACATAATATCTATATCTGTGTCCTGCCATGAGGGATTCTTCCAAGGTTAGCAACATGCTTTGTTGGTTTTCCCAAAGCATTTGTTAAAGCCATTTTATATTCAAAGAGAAATTAGTAGTTCATTGGTTTGACAAACTAGATTTTGCGGGCTGAGGTAAAATTTTGGGATTGAAAGGTTCTTATTCATTCCTGCAGTGCCGGTGGAACCGGTGTGCTGCTGAACATTGATAAGGTGTCCAGTCTTCTGGAGCAGCTGGGTGCAGATGCTCAGGTGCGCGGCCTTGTCGACTCAGGCTGGTTTCTGGAAAGCAAACAACAAAAAGTTCCTGACTGTCCGGACAGTGCTTCCTGCACCCCTGTAGATGCCATAAAAAAAGGACTCCGGTAAAGTATACACTCAATTTAGGTTTAGGACACTTAATGTTATTTACAATTAAATGAAAATGTATTATACTTTTATAATTATAATTTATATTAAATGCAGGTAGTTGAATATGTAGTTGAACAAGGTTTTTTTTGACCTACTTATTTTTGAGTGCTTTTTTTATTGTATTGGGTTATGTTTTATTGGTAACGCTTCCTTTTACAGTCCAGTTACCCATGTAAATAATATGTACTTATTTTAGTAACTACTGGGTAATAACTAGTACTAACCCTGAACCTACCCCTAAACCTACCCCTGTTCCATGTACTTACCTTATATTAGCCAGTACTTTAAAGGGTTAGTTCACCCAAAAATGAAAATTAAGTAATTAATTACTCACCCCCATGCTGTACCAACCCCGTAAGACCTTCGTTCGTCTTCGGAACACAAATGAAGATATTTTTGATTAAATTTGAGAGCTGTATAACTACCACATTGGCTGCCTAAGGGACTGCCTCTTGACGGCCCAGAAATTCAATGAAGAAAATGTTTAAATATCCCAAGTGACTACCGTGGCTCAACTATATGTTTATCAAGCGGCGCGAATACTTTTTGTGCGAAAAAACAAACAAAAATAACGAGTTTATTCGACTATTTCTTTTCTTCCTTGTAGGCCAGAAACGAGACTTCCTTAGATTTCCACGACGCATGTGCGAGAATTGCGATCTGAAGTAGTGTAAGCAGATCGCAATTCTCAAATATGGACAAATATGGACAAACCCAAATGTTGGGTTAAAAATGTAATTTAAACATTTAACCCAATGGCTGAGTTTGTCCATCCATATTTGACCAAAGATGGGTTGTTTTAACCCAGCATTTTGTTTTGTCTGTGTATCACACTGAGGATTTTAAATACAGAAACAGACAGTAAAAATAGACTGGGAAAAGTCAATACTGTAGTGCACAAAATGAAAATGAACATTTGTATTTATACAGTACATTTATTTTTCCAGAACTGTGCTATACGTAAGCTGAAAATTCTCGGTTACTAGACATTTTTACATGTCTTTCTCTAAAACATACATATATTCATAAATATCTTCCAATTGCTCTTCAATGACAAGTTTATTCAGTTTACATGTAACACATTTCTACAAAAAAAATTACTGTAAAACTACAAATGTATTTACACAGCACTGGTACAGCACCGCTGCTGCTCAGAGTTGCGATTTTCCTCATGGTTCAAAAGTGGTGGTTTGTGTTGTCAGCAAACTCTGTATATCGATATATATTCCTATTTCAGTAAAAAAAACAATCTTTAGCAAGCATTACAAACATTATATATATATATCAAAATAATTGATGTTATATCATAATATAACATATCTGACAGATTTTGAACACTGAATGGATCATTTTGCATGTGATGGCTCTTGAGAGTTTCACTCAGAATCAACTCATCAGTTTTGATCAACAAGCCATGTGCACTTAGTCATTGTGCAAATTGTAGACAATTGCAATTGTTGTTTTGCACACATGCAATTTGCTTAAATCATTAAGCAATTCTAATCTGACATGAACAAAAACTGATTGTTGAGAGATCTGAACTTTTGAGGGGGGGGGGAGTTGCGATTGAGAAAAACTGTAATATAATATTACCTGCAAGTACCAAAAAAATGTAAGATTTGAATTACACTACAAGTGCACAATTAAGTGCACTTCTTTTGTTGCTCATGCAACTGTGCTACTGTTTCACGATTAGGCATTGGAATCAAACTTCAAGGCATAACTCATGCACATATTGTTATTTTCTGATGATTTAATATCTCTGTTAGTTTGTGGAGTGGTGTTGTTCCAGAAAAGTGCAAGCAACAGTATAAAAGAGGCGAGGATTGGCAATGCTTTTTTGGACACAAACTGCACTCCTACATAACCGGTGAGGGTGTGCTGTCTGTGCGATATGAAAAACATTCTCACAGAAGTGACTAATGCTAATAAGAATGACTTCCTTTAAAATAAGGATGTGTCCCTTTGTAGCTCCGCTATTTGTGGTGCAGTGGTTGTTCGACGAGGAACAGTTACGAGTGGAGAACATTTATATGGGTGGCCAGTCACTCTCAGAGCAGCAGTGGACCTACATGCAGAACCTGGGAAAAGAGCTAAAAAACTCCTTGAAAGATGTCACGTGAGTATATTACTTTCATAATGTATTAAGTCACTAATATCTGAATAATCATGTCAAAATCATGCATTGAATGTGCAGTGTAACCTTATAAAATGTGATTAATTAATCTTCATATTAGGATGCAAACATTATGAATCTGTGTTTTGCTCAAGGCTTTATATCTCGTGTGTACTAAAATGTCCTGTTGTATGTTGTTTTAGGGCCGTGTTCGCTCCCTCCTGTCTTTCCCACACTTTGATAACCAAAAGGTAAGGACACGCATGCAGGCACACTGAGACACACTCCTCATGGGTGAGCTCACAGCCTGCATTTGAACACTAGTCCATCATGATGCATTCTAGGTGTCACCAAAATGCCACCTCATGGTTTCACACTTAATTAATGGCTCTGTCTATGAGCTCAGCTGAGAGAGCAGCGGGACAGATGATTTGTGAGGTGAACCGTGAAACTGTATGGCGAAACACAAGCTGCTTATAAAGAGACTGATGGGACATTAAATTGCCAATTAGTTTAAACTTTCGTCTAAAGCAACTTATAGTGCACTTAAAGGGCAAGCTTAAAGGGGGTCACAGGATGACTTAAAAATATATAGATTATTATTAATATAATTCATATATTAGTTATAATTTATTTAATAAGTAATTAAACATTTATTCTAATTAAATAGTACACTATATTGGTACTGTAAAAATTACATTGGGAATGCACTCTTTCCACACTTAAGCACTTGACTTGCTTGACATAAGCACAAATTTTTACTTCTATAATGTGATCTATTTCCTAATTAAACAGCATTATTAATTTTAAAATGTAAGGCAGGGCTGTATTTTTTATTTATTGGGAATTGATTGGATTGTGAAAAGCGTTCCATTTCAGACCCATATTGCAGTTTGCTGGTTAACATTATGTAACCCAATTACAAAGACAAAAATGTTTTGTTTGGATTGCATGATCAGATTCCAAAAATTAAGTACTTAATTTGATTATATTACATTTTAAAATACTCATATTCAGAGTACAGTCACTTTTTTATTGATTACATGAATGGCTGTCAAACATTCATAATTCATTGGTTCTTCCTACTACTTATTTTTTAGCTTTTAAAAGTTCCTTTCTAAATAAGCCTACTGCTTCACTGTAAAAAATGTTCATGATTTGTTATCACAACATTTTTTTCGTCTGTAAAATCAACTTAGATAATTTATGTGGTTCAGATAACATAATATTTTGAGTTTCTGTCTCTGCTCAGAAGGTCTTGGAATTACACACACAGACCAGCCACTAGTCATGAGCCGATCACTGAAAACTGAGACACACAGCTTTTCATCACTGCATTTACAGAAATCATATCACTTCTGTTTTCTCAACATTGCAACAATGCATATCTATTCAACTCCTGATGAACACATTCAGTATTATTTGAACCTGAAAGTTATTATTTGGAAATGAATGGAAGGCTTTTTTTTTTGGTAGAATTGTCTAGACAGTGACATGAAAGTTACACTAATTCTGATATGACTGTTCAGACTGAGGTCGCATACAAAACAGACTTGTATCTAGGAAAAGACTACGCTATCTCACATCCAATTCGTACGAATTCGTACGAGTGATTAAAAAGTGGCTAATTCGTACTAATTCATACGACCTCACGGTTTAGGGGCGGGGTCAGGGGTAGGTCATTCGTACGAATTCATTGAATTGGCCAATTCGTAAAATATGTACGATTTACCAAAAATGTACTAACTCGTACGAGTGAGGTCGTACGAATTGTTACGAATTAGCCAATTGTACGAATTCTCGTGAGATCGGGTTGGAAAAGATCAGACTCTACGTGGTCTGTGCTGTTCACGCTGTTATGAAAAACACATTAAAGGAGTAGTTCACTTTTAAAAAAAATTTTGCTGATAATTTACTCACCCCCATGTCATCCAAGATGTCCACGTCTTTCTTTCTTCAGTCGAAAATAAATTAAGGTTTTTGATGAAAACATTATATGATTTTCTCCATATAATGGACTTCATTGGGAACCAAATCGGTGCAGCTTCAAAGGGCTTTAAACGACACCAGACAGTGAATAAGGGTCGTATCTAGCAAAAACGATCACTCATTTCAAAAACTCGAGTCATTTCGTTCATTTCGGTCGTTTCATGAACCAAATGACTCGAAAAAAGATCGTTCGTTTTGATGAACGAGTTCGAACAGGAGAGTCACAAACGCACATCACAGAACAGAGCAAGGAGAGCATTTGTGTTTATAAAACAAAGTTTTTTTCATTTATTTTTGAAATGACCAATCGTTTCGCTAGATAAGAGCCTTATTCACTGTCTGGTGTCATTTAAAGCCCATTGAAGCTGCACTGAAACTCTCATTTGGACCTTGAACAGTTTGGTTCCCATTGAAGTCCATTATATGGAGAAAATCCTGGAATCAAAAACTTTAATTTCTTTTCGACATGGACATCTTGTATGACATGGGGGTGAGTAAATTATCAGCAAAAGTTTTTACACCTTTAACAAACCAAAACAAAAAGCTGGGTCAATTTTTCCTTCCTGATTTTTTCTCTTTCAGCAATTGGATGGATTTCCAGGTCAAGGGGGCGTCACTTTCCCGTGCTCTGCAGTGCTGGGACAAAAGCCTTCAGGAGGCCAATAAAAACAGCAAAACCGCTCTGAAGGGCTGTCCCTTCCATCTCATCGATAACTGTCAATGGCCACAGTGCAATCCAACTTGTCCAGCCCTGATTGACCAGGCCACGCAACAGGAAATGACTCTGCTCCAGGTGCTGGCCAGTATGGGCTTGGACCTGCAAAAGCTAGGCTTGGATGTAAGCAGGGATATTTCAGCCAGCATGGTCAGCAATGGTGGCTAAATTAGCATTAGCGAGTGGTTGTGTTCTTATCGACACAGTTCGCCTCATCCATAAATTCGAGATTGTTCAGTGGCTTCCTCTCTGGCCACTTCCAGAGATGGACCTGGGTTTGTCTAGTGAACATGTCACTGGATTTCAGTACCGACAGTCTGCCTTTAAAACCATGTTCTATCAACAGGAATGATTTCGGGTTCTCCAAGTAAGCGGTCCTGAGCAACCTCTGGACACAGTTAATCAATGGTTATCACGACTAAATAATCTAATTCATCACTTCAGTAAGAGAACTAGTGTCTGAATTCAATGTATTGAACTAAAACTGTCTGACAGCATACCAATAGAATTAAAAGAGCTGAATTTACTGTTATTAAATCTGAAATAATTGTGGAGGATTTAGTAGGATCTTTGCATCATGTTTTGGAGAAAAACAGAGAGCAGTCTAAGAACTGCATGTATTTAAAAAACAAAAACAGGACAGCAGAACATTGCAGTAACCACATTTTTTCAAACATCCTGTCACAATACTTACTCTATACGTTATGTTTCTTCAATATTTCAAGTGCATGCTGTTTTAAGACATTGTGGTCTATTTTGTAGACGAGAGTCATAAATGTGTATGGATAAATGTGGTATCTGTTTCTTTTTGCTTTTAAATATATATAGTGTGTGATTAGATATTGACAACCATCCTCAAATACAAAAGAAAAACCTTTATATATAATTATCTCTCATCCACATAATTGTCTGTTGTCATGATCTGTAATCCATCAAGTTCTTTTGACATTTATAGTTTGTATAAAATTACCTTGAACACTAATAAAAGATTAATGAAAACTTTTACATGTACAAGATGTCCTTGTCACTGGGAACAGCTTATAAATCAAGTGATGTTTTACTATTATTATTTTGGTAACACTTTAAAATAAGGTTAATTAGTTAACAACCTTAGTTAAAGGAGTAGTTCTCTTTAAAAAAAAAAAAAAAACTTTTGCTGATAATTTACTCACCCACATGTCATCTGATGTCCATGTCATTCTTTCTTCAGTCGAAAAGAAATTAAGGTTTTTGATTAAATCATTCCAGGATTTTTCTCTAATGCACTTTACTGGGCAAGTTCAAGGTCCAAAAGACATTTTCAGAGCAAACTACAAACTGTTCAATGGGCTTTAAAACGATTCCAGACGATAAATTCTTATCAAGCGAAACGATCGCTCATTTAAAAAAAAAAAAGTTATGTTTTATAAGCTCAAATGGTCGCTTTGCTCTGTTCTGTGATGCACGTTCGTGACTCTCCTGTTCAAACTCGTTCATCAAAATAAACAAGTCTTTTTTCATGTCATTTGATTTATTCAATGAACGAAATTAACGAATTGACTCGAAAAAAGATTCGTTCATTTTGATAAACGAGTGCAAACAGGAGAGTCACGAATGCGCATCACAGAACAGAGCAAGGCAACCATTTGAGCTTATGAAACTTAAACTTTGTTATCTTAAAGATCGTTTCGCTTGATAAGACCCTTATTCATCCTATGGAATCGTTTAAAGCCCTTTGAACAGTTTGTAGTTTGCACTGAAACTGTCTTTTGGACCTTGAACCGTTTGGTTACCAGTAAAGTGCATTATATGGAGAAAAATCCTGGAATGTTTTCATCAAAATCCTTAATTTCTTTTTGAAGAAAGAAAGACATGGACATCTTGAATGACATGGGGGTAAGTAAATTATCAACAAAAGTTTTTTTAAAAGTGAACTACTCCTTTAACATGAACAATATTTCTTAAGCATTCATTAATCTTAGTTAATATTAATTTCAACCTTTAATACATTATTAAAATCAAAGGTAATTTGTTAACATTAGTTGATGCACTGTGAAATAACATGAACAAATAATGAAAAGCTGTATTTTTCTTAACATAAATTAACAAAGATTAATAAATACTGTGAAAAAAAGAATTGCTCATTATTAGTTCATGTTAGTAAATACATTAATGTTAACTAATGAACCTTTATGTTAACTAATGAACCTTTTTGTAAAGTGTTACCTTTTTATTATGTAAACATGTAGAAAGTTTTCTGTGATGGGTAGGTTTAGTTGGATGCTTTCCAACCTGACTGACACATAATGCGAATTCCACACCTTAAAAACTTTTTTTGACAATATAAAACAAAAAAAGGAAAATTGAAGGGGAATGGTTAAATTTTACCCTGTTTGAAATGTGGTCTCAGTCATTCTTGTTTAATAAACCCACAATGATTTCTTAGTTGTAAAAATGTGTGCTCAACCACAATCTTATCAGATATCCTATTTCTACTCTTCAAATGGCTTGTTGCTTTCAGTAATACCAGGTCGCACATCATCTCACTGAAAAGATAACTAAATTGAACTAAATTTAAACGACATTATACTTAATAATATTATATGGGGATGTTGAAAAGCTTGTCACTGGCCATCTTTCCGGGGCATCCCTGGACCGTGGCCCGACACGCATCCTGTTGAACCTACAGAGGATACACATACTGTAGTTTTTAAGTTTGCTGTCAATGTCTGGCAGGTCTGCGAATTTTGGTTTCCCATGCAATTTCAATTTCCAAAAAGAATCAAGTGGAAACTTTGAGTGGGAGTTTCATGGGTAAAAAGTCTATGTTTTCACATTTGCGTTATTAAGCAAAGGCATGACTAAGACATTTCTCAGCAGTGTTCGAACTAAATATGTCTTGAGGGGAATTTTACAACTATATCCATGCATAAACAATTCATGAGGTACAATACGGTGAGGGATACAGGTCATATGTAACTCCACAGACTGGCTTCCTGTAAACAGCAGTTTGCTGTCTGAAGTCACTTGAGGTATCAAGCAGTTCCATTTCTTGCTATTGTGCGAACACAAAGTCACTATAATTTATAGAATTATAAAATATGGAAGATTGAAGATTCATTGAATAAGTAAGAACAAAATGTGTATTGCATTAACTCTTTTTTCCCTAAATGAATGTAGAAAAGATTTGTGCTCATCCATGATGCAACATTGTTTATTTCGCATCTCTTGGCTATTATTCTGATTAAAATGTATGCAATGTAATGTTTCAGGTGCAAATTCTCAAGCATTTAACTTTAGCCGATAAGATACAGGGCTGGCTAAACCAGAGCAGCTATGCAAGCGATGCCTCATGTCACAAATAATACTGGAATTCTATCAGCAACGTTGGCTCTAGCATCAACAAGGCATTTTCACCCACAGGACTGCCGCATACTAACACAGTCTCATCCCAAGAAGTCATAACTGACGTCTTGGGACGTCTTTTGATCATACGTCAACATCCGCCTTTTTGGGGTACCCTTAAACGTCGGTTACATGACGATCCCGGGCCGTCATACAACTGACGCTTTACCTTTAACGTCGGTTAGGTGACGGGGTAGGTTTAGGGGTAGGTTTAGGTCTGGGATATAGGGATAGGATCCGATAACGTCATCTAACCGACGTTTAAGGGTACCCTAAAAAGGCGGATGTTGACATATGGTCAAAAGACGTCCCAAGACGTCAGTTATATGACGTCTTGGGATGATGTTTTTCCCTTTTCACACCATTCTATGTTAACCCTAGAAATGGTTGTGTGTGAAAATCCCAGAGCAGATTGTGAAATACTCAGACCAGCACGTTAACTAACGTCAACAAAGATGAACAAAAACAGTAACAAATGTATTTCTCATGGTTAGTTCATGTTAATACATTAACTAATGTTAACAAATGAACCCAGTTGTATAGTGTTGCCTATATTTTATTTATTTTTTTATTGCAAAATATGCATATGTTGAAATATATAATTATTTTGAGAGCGTAAATAGACCGACTTGAATAGGCTATAAGAGGTACAGCATCAGAGCTAAAGAGTTCTTTTGATGCATTTAGCTTGTTTCAAATCTCTGATTGGTGTACAGCAACATGAAAAACAATTAAGTTTTTCACTATTCCGATTATTTTAAAACTAAGTTGAAATAATACAGAATAGTTTTTACTTCCAGAACCCAACTGTTGCTCTCTATTAAGCATAACATAAAACATCACTATATATTTTAATAGCTATATCCTGGTTAATAAGATAAAAAAAATTTAAAGGAAATGAAATTTCTGATCTTCCTTTATGCTTTTTATGCAAAGTGAAATCAGCAATAAGATCTTGGGTTGCTTCAGGTGGGGTTTTAATTTCCTGCACCATTTGACGTACCATAAGATAATGTATTGTGGTTTTGATAGGTTAGATCTTCCTGTTTTTGTTAAAACCACAGGCAAATATTCATCTCAACTTCTATTAATTTTAACGACACATATATAGAGATATATACTACAGTGGTCACATAGTGCAAGCTTGCTTGCATGCACTTTGACAAACTTTCCATTTAAGCTAACGACATTTGTTGTTTTTTTTTACTCAGGAACTTTCATCTGCGTTTTGCTTTCTTTGTGATTTTGGGGTGGGGGGTTGTGTGTTCCTTTTCTCTCTCTTACTCTTTGATCTCTTTTTGATAAGACTCAAAGCTTGATAGCTGTAAACAATCTATATGACCTGCTTTTAGTTTTAAACAGTACAAATTCTCTCGCCTTTGCTTAGATTCTCTTTTTCATTTTTCTCGGATTATCAAATTTTTTTTGTGCTTAACCTTTATTTGTCTAGCTGTAAAAAAAAAAGTAAATTTCATATATATTTTCATGACATGAACCATTTTACATTTTCTTTTTAATCCGATGCATTTGGACAAATTATGTTTCATCGAATTCTGTAAGACAAAAAAAAATAATAATAATTTACACGTTCTTTATTTTTTAGCATAAAAGTCTTTTTTTAAAGATTCTGCTCAAACTTAAGTCACTTATAAGTAATTAAATAAATAAATAAAAAAAACACCAATGGTTTTTGAATAAACAGGTAAGTGTACAGGTGATCGTACCAACTGAGGTTTATTCAGTTTGTGTGGGTGAAGTGCAGCAGTTCCTTTACCATGCAAATCACCTGAGTTGTGGCCGAAACACGTCTTCCTGCTTAGGTTTCTTTCCTGGCAACAACACACACAAACCCACAACTGCACACGTGCAGCAGTGTGCGTTTACCTGTGCAAAGTTGAAACTCTGGGGTGGAGGGGGGAGGGGGGGTTGGAGTAACAAGTGGTTGAGGACAGGGAACTTCAAATAACAGAATAGTGGGGAAAAGCATGTTAGCCTAAATAAAAGCTAACATGTAAAGCGTCAGTTGTATGACGGCCTGGATCGTTATCTAACCAACGTTTAAGGGTACCCTAAAAAGGCGGATGTTGACGTATGGTCAAAAGACGTCCCAAGACGTCAGTTATATGACGTCTTGGGATGAGACTGCGCTGAATAGTCAAGAAGAAAGGCATGCTGTGGTGGGATACTTTACAACAATCATGCTTTCTTATCATTCAATAAGATTCTAGTGGATAATTATATCTATTCTGCACTGTTAAATGTCGCTGTAGATTTAGCAGTACAGTACAGTAAAAATCTACAGCACAATGCTGCATTTCAATATTACAGTAAAATACCGTAATTTACATTGCATTCTGGGTAGTTTTGTTTGAGCGGGAACATTTTACAGTATATTTTAGTGTTGCTGTAACCTGGCTGCAATGTGCCATGCAGTAATACAGGTGGGTCATCATTTACTGTAGATTCTGTTGAATCACATTGTGTAAAAGCAGTTTTACCGCATGTCACATTATTGTATAGGCCTATATTATACTTTACCGGATAAATATGGCTATCATATTTTCAAAATTCACTTATTATGACGCAGTGTTTAAGAATTTAAAATTGAAATTATAAGCAGACAGTGATGATAAAAAATACATTTTGTTTTCAATTATTAATGTTTGGTTTAATTTGAATTAGATGGAATGGTTGTGCAAAGGTAAGGCAGGTGTTGTTTTTCTTGAAACAGTGCAGGCTGTGGTAAAAACCCTTTCCTCTGGTCTTGGCTTCAGAGTTAAAAGTGGTGCTTCACCTTTTTAACACAGCGTGAAACAGAGCTCTCGTATTCACTGTTGTTTGCAGTCCTGGTGAAACATTCAAAGAGAAAGTCAGCTGAAATCATGCATGCATTTACCGGTAAGCATCTCACTTTATTTGCTCAATTGCACCGTTGAAATATAAATAAATAGCTTTGCAAATCTTTAAAAAATGTAGAGGATGTGGTCACAGAAGAGAAGTGATCCATTAGCTTTAATGAATTCGCTTTAACCCTTCTACATGCCTTTCTATGAAGGAAGGTTATCTTTATGTGTACTCTCTGAAACACTGTCTTTTTTTCATTTTTGACAGTTTTTTGTCCTGTGTTGCTGATATGGTCGTGTCACATAAAGGTAATTTCATTGATTAAAACAGGAACAACTGCACTCACATTTAAATTTTACCTCAAATTCCAGAGGCATATTATACCCAACAATGAAATTTCTGTCATAATTTATATATCATATATTTAACACAAAAGGAGATTTTAGGCAAAATGACAAAAATAACTCACTTTTAATGCACCCGTTTTGCATAGAGTGGAAGTGAATGGTGACTGAATCTGTCGTTCTGACATCTTCTGTGACCATACAGAAGAAAGAAAATCTGTAACACTTTACAATGAGGTTCCATTAGAAAATAATATCACTAGTAAACTAAACTAACAGTGTGCAAATACATTTATTACAGTATTTAATAATCTTTTCTAACGTTAGTTAACATGTCAATGTCACCTCAGGTCCATTAAATATGGACATATACAAATTTTGATTTTAATAATGTATTAATAAAAGTCAAAAATTAACATTATTAAATTCTTTAGAAGTATTTTTCATTGATAGTTCATGTTAACTAATATTAAAGGAGTAGTTCACTTTAAAAAAAAAAAAAAATCTTATCTTTTGCTGATAATTTACTCACCCCCATGTCATCCAAGATGTCCACGTCTTTCTTTCTTCAGTTGAAAAGAAATTAAGGTTTTTGATGAAAACATTCCAGGATTTTCTCCATATAATGGACTTCATTGGGAACCAAACGGTTCAAGGTCTAAAATACAGTTTCAGTGCAAACTGCAAACTGTTCAAAGGGCTTTAAACGACACCAGACGATGAATAAGGGTCTTAGGACCCTTCGGGTCATGACTGGAAAAAAGATTTGTTCATTTTGATTTTGAACGTTAGAGTCACGAACGATCATCACAGAACAGAGCAAGGCGAGCATTTGTGCTTATAAAACTTATTTATTTTTTAAATGACTGGTCGTTTCGCTAGATAAGACCCTTATTCATCGTCTGGTGTCGTTTAAAGCCCTTTGAACAGTTTGCAATGAAACTGTCTTTTCACTGAAACCTTGAACCGTTTGGTTCCCAATGAAGTCCATTATATGGAGAAAATCCCGGAATGTTTTCATCAAAAACCTGAATTTCTTTTCGACTGAAGAAAGAAAGACATGGACATCTTGGATGACATGGGGGTGAGTAAATTATCAGCAAAAGTTTTTTTTTTAATGTGAACTACTCCTTTAATTAACTAATGTGAACAAATGAACTATTTCTGAATCTTCTGGAGGTCTAGTTATTTCTCTGAACACCTTTTAATGCACATTTAACTACATTTCAGCTCTAAACAGGAACCATGCACAGATTTCAGACTTTATTGTGGTTGTACATTTATATTATAATGGCACCTTATGCTGAGTAACTGATTCCTTGGAAGGTTTTTGTGAAGCTTCTGCATTATCTTTATTTCAGAAAAGTTGGTCCAATGAGACCACTGAATACCAATCCACAACGGAATATGAGTATACCAGTGAGTCGATAGATTACAGTGGTCATGAATTCCTTTGCGAAAAAGGCTTCAACCGTAGCTTCCGCAGCTGGTTCCTGCCCACCATCTACACCATCATCTGTCTCCTGGCTCTTGTGGGGAACGTTCTGGTCATCCTAACCTACCTTTACTTCAAGAGGCTGAAGACGATGACTGACGTCTACTTGCTCAACCTAGCCATGGCTGACCTGCTGTTTGCGATTTCGCTCCCCTTCTGGGCAGCTAGTTTCATGAGCAAGTGGCATTTGGGTCTGTATCCATGCAAGGCCATGTTCACCATCTACAAGGTCAGCTTCTTCAGTGGCATGTTCCTTCTCACCTGTATCAGCGTAGATCGCTATTTCTCCATAACCAAGGCCGTCTCTGCTCATCGCTGTCGCTCCAGTGCGGTCTATTATGGACAGGTATCTTCTCTGGTTACATGGGTGATGGCGGTGATCTTTTCAATACCTGACATGGTGTTCTCTGAAGTCAACGTCAATGGCACCTGTGTAGCAAATGGCAGCAACTATGAGGACTACCGCATTAAGATGCTGGTAAGTCAGATGGTCCTGGGTTTTATTCTTCCAGCGATCGTCATTGGATTCTGTTACATCTGTATCATCAAGACCCTGGTCCAAGCCAAGAACTTTGAGAGGAATAAAGCCTTCAAGGTTATCATTGCAGTGGTGGCTGTCTTTGTGTTCAGCCAACTACCCTACAATGTAGTCATGGGAGTGACCACTCAGGAAACAAGGGACTGCGCCATTGACAACAGTCGTCTTTACGCCATGGATGTGACCAGGGCCGTGGCCTTTTTGCGCTGCTGCGTGAACCCATTCCTGTACGCCTTCATTGGGGTCAAGTTTCGCAATGATCTCCTGAAGCTATTGAAAGACTTGGGATGTCTCAAAAAGAGCCACCTCATGTACACCCACTGCGGTAAACGGAGATCTTCTGTCGGCCTGGACACCGAGACCACCACGACGTTTTCACCCTGAATGCTCTTATATGCTTGAGAAAAGTTTTGCCAGTTTCAGTTACAGTGGTAAATTGCTTCATAAGCTAAGCTAAATGCTTAAGCATTTAGAGAAAAAACGCCTGTGGAGGACTGAATGGTGACATACTGCAAATTTTGCCATGCAGTATTATTGTACAAAAACTTCTTCCTGCTTTGTAACAATATGCTTTTCACTTCTTGTTTTTGATTTCCCTTTGAGAGAATTTTTACTCTTTGTGATTTATAGCCATGTTGTCTTCAATATCTTGTTTTCAGCATCAGTTTGTCTATATTTAATGTACTGAGACTTTGAAAATAAGACTTTTTTGAAGAAGTTATGCTGACTGTCCATTAAATAAGCCGCATAATTCTTTTTTATGGTGAAATGGCTCTTTAAAACATGCCTTCTTCTTTATTATTTGTCAGAGTTGTTTTAAAACTGAATAAATCCCAAAAAATAAATATCAACTCAAGACTCAAGTTGCTTTGTGTGTAATACCATTTCCGTTAGCTTCACATATTCTGCACATCAAAATAGCGTCACCCGTCATCTATTTGGTTAGTTTCACAAAACAAGTCACCTTAAAATAAGTCTCGAACATCATGTGAAGGGGAAACATAGTTAGAAATACCAACATAGAATGCAAGCATTGTTAACTCTATCATCTTATGGTTTTGTCACCCTCTATACCAGTTGTGAGGAAGACATTCACTCATTGTCTGTGGTCACAATATCTACTACGAATGTGGTTGTGGTGAGTAAGTCTGTTACACTTAAAATGTCCTGCATGCAGAAAATCCTGCGATCGTCCTGCGATTTCATTTTCATTGATTCATTTTAAAGATACTGGCCAAACATTTGGTCACAAATTGAGATAAATAATGCAAGTCCCAGAGGCTTTAAAGGGATAGTTCATCCAAAAATGAAAATTCAGTCAGTAATTACGCACCCTCATGTTGTCCCTGGTAAGACTTTCGTTCATCTTCAGAATGAAAAGGAGAGAATGAGCGAATTCATCTTTGGTTCCTCTGTTATTGGCTTTTGACAGCCTGTCTGAAATACCCATGAGCAAAGTTGAGAGTTGTCACACTTTTTTGGGGGATTCTTCTCAAGGTGTCAGAGTGATACTGCTTTCTCCAGGTATGACAGATCAACGTTAAAACAAAATGAAAAAAATGGCTTATTCAGAAATATATATATTAGCTAATGTATTTGTCTGGTTTTATTCTTCTCAGGATACATGAATTGGCATTTAAGGAGCTTGTCTTTTTTGTTGTTGTTGCTGCTGTTTTATTTTGCGATTTTCTTTTTTTTTTGGCACATTAGGGGAATTACGATTAGACCACATAGACTAATATGCTGACCATGAGTCAATAATGAAGACCAGGAGTAAAGTTGAAGTTCAATTAGATGACAGAGAATTAACTGAAGACAAAGTTCTCCACACTTTCATAGGCTGTATAAAATGAGTAAGAGGATCCAGCTTCAAAACAACTTACGATACAGAAACAACACTTAGTAGCCTACTAATCATGTGGATAATCAGAGGATGCATTTCTAGTTCAAGTTAACAGATAATTCTAGCAGCATCCAAACATGATATTCTGTTCTTTACGCAAATAGGTTTATAAGAGATACCATATTTGACACATACGTAAGAAACTTTGGTAAGGGTCACAGATAAGTCATAAATTCTGGAAGGACTCTTCTCATCTGGGACAGATAGTCTCATAGAGACTAGTTTTAGTTTTAAAGATATGTACAACTATAGTCTTATAGTCTTACTCCAAAACATTTGTTATGTGTAATGCAATTACTCCTTACATTTTGCATTGCACCTAGCGTTTTCTAAAATCAGTTTATTTCTGCTACAAAAGAAGCGATATCACCATCTACAGGGGATATAATGTGCGTCACCCAATTGTCACAATTGTCGTTTTGAATATAGATCTGCTCTTACTGATGAAATGTAAAATCAGTGACCACACATATGTAATCTATATAATGTTATTAGCTCACTTTCATTCCAACCCCTGTAGTGCTGAGTGCTAAACCCTAAAAAGAATTACACATGCCAAGTGGATACATGTATGTTATCGACCTTCATGACCGTAGACACTGTTGTCTACATTTCTCATACAGCTATTATCATGAGAAGAGCAGAAAAAAACATGGCAAATCTCTTTCTTCAAAATATAACACTTGATCAATTACAAAACAAGCACATATTTAGCCAGGCTAAATGAGTTAACACTGTTAGGCTACTTCCTGACATGGGTCAGAGACTCCGTCACCTCTCAGATTCCAAACACAGACATTGCCTGTAACAGTTACATAAATACCAGAATACAATGGTTTTAAGAAAACTATGATTTCCAATTCATTATATAATGCAAGAAGAGTCAGCCTTTGCAGCTAAATGTTAGGTTAATAATATACTAAATATTATTCCAGGATAGGCGACTAGACAGTTACTGAGGTTTTTTTTTTGTTTTGTTACTTTTTTATTTATTTTTTATTTATTTTTATTAATCGTCTTTTATCATCCACATGCATAGTTGGTTAAAACATAACAGCAAGCATTTCATATTATTTAAAGGAGTAGTTCACTTTAAAAAAAAAAAAAAAAAAAAACATTTGCTGATACTCTAATTTACTCACCTCCATGAGCATTTGAAACGGTTCAAGGTCCAAAAGACAGTTTCAGTTCAAACTGTTCAAAGGGGTTTAAACGACACCAGACGATGAATAAGGGTCTTATCAAGCGAAACGATCGCTCATTTAAAAAATAAAATTACTTAATAACAAAGTTTAAGTTTTATAAGCTCAAATGGTTGCCTTGCTCTGTTCTGTGTGACTCTCCTGTTCGAACTTGTTTATCAAAATGAACGAATCTTTTTCCGAGTCAATATGTTCATTTTGTTCGTTGAATGAATCAAATGACTCGAGAAAAGATTTGTTCAGTTTGATGAACGAGTTTGAACAGGAGAGTCACGAACGCGCTTCACAGAACAGAACAAGGCGAGCATTTGAGCTTATAAATTTAAACTTTGTTATCTTAAACTATCGTTTCGCTTGATAAGACCCTTATTCGTCGTCTGGAATCGTTTAAAGCCCTTTAAACAGTTTGCAGTTTGCACTGAAACTGTCTTTTGGACCTTGCCCTTTTGGTGCCCAGTACAGTGCATATGGAGAAAAATCCTGGAATGTTTTCATCAAAAAAATTTCTTTTCGACTGAAGAAAGAATAACATGAATATCTTGGATGACATGGGGTGAGTAAAAGTTTTTTTTTTTTTTTTTTTAAGTGAACTACTCCTTTAAGCACCCAAAACCTTATCAGTTTGACAGTACATTTTTTACAGTTTGACAGATCCCCATTTGATATATTAATAATAAAAATAGCCTACAGATAGCAACTATAGCTATCTAAAACATCCAACAGTTGTAACATAGCCTATTTTTGGCAGAAAATGTATTATCTTAACAGATAATCTATTATAAAAATCGCTTATATCCTATGAATATATTACAATCTGTTCTGCAGTTCTTATATGCCGCCACTAGAGCACGCTCTTGCATTAAACTATCTTGACACTGAGAATTAATTGAGCACATTACGATGCAGACAGTTCTAAACATGAGCAGCAGGGGTCGCCGTCCTTCTGCAAACAGCAACACATGAGAGGACAGAACACAGGAAACTGTTAAATGTGTTGGCGGTCGAGGAAGTGCAGCAAGCAACACTAGGGAATTATCTTATGGGAAGGACATAGTCACCCCTAAACCTACAGTAGGAGCTAAAAGATTCATATTTTAAGCAATGTTTCAGAATTGTATGCCTTCTTGAATCTTAAGGCCAGAAAAACAATTACATGGACAAAAACTGTATATATAAATAACCAAAGGTCATCTGCGTGATGTCTGTGTGAACAGAATCAACACCAATATCTCAGATGCTGTATTAATAGACTGACTAGGTTTCCCCAGAGGTATGTGTAAATTTGCCAGCAGTAGAGAGAATAATCATGCTATGACAGCTAGTTAGGAGAGAAGACATGCTAAAAAGAACATGGCTTCAAAAGCAATGATTTATGTTCTGTTGCTATGGGAACCATTCACAATTGGCTTGTTGTCTTGGTAACAAGGGCAGCAGTGAATTGAGTTCAGCGGTATGCAGTAAGAAAGTTTGTTCTGACTGTTAGTGGTGTTTGCGATAGATATGAGACTCGATAACCATTTAATTTTTACATTTGAAAAAGTCAGATATTTGGCTACATGTCATGGATCTCTTTAAGGGTTAGTTCATCCAAAAATGAAAATTCTGTCATTAATTAGGCCTACTCAAACTCATGTATTTCCAAACCCTTAAGACTTTCATTCATCTTTGGAACACAAATAAAGATCTTTTTTTATTAAATCTAAGAGCTTTCTTTCCCTCCATTGACAGCTACGCAACTACCACTTTGACCCTTCAAAAAGTTCATAAAGAGATTGTAAAACTAGTCAATGTTCACTTAACATGCGAGAACCAATGAGGTTCATTCTTGTGTTACGCAGCACGTGTGGTAGTTGCATATATAGCTTTCAAAGGAGGGACAAAAAGCTTTCATATTTCCTCAAAAATCTGTATTTGTGTTCCGAAGATGAACGAAAGTCGGCTGAGATGAAATTCACCTCCAAATCCGAGGCCATGGTCCTCACTCGGAAAAGGGTGGCTTGCCCACTTCAGGTTGGTGGAGAGATCCTGCCTCAAGTGGAGGAGTTTAAGTTGGGGTTTTGTTCACGAGTGAGGGAAGGATGGAACGGGAGATTGACAGATGGATCGGTGCAGCTTCTGCAGTCGATGTACTGGCCTTTTGTGGTGAAGAAGGCGGCTCAGCTCTCGATTTACCGGTCAATATGTTCCTATTCTCACCTATGGTCATGAGCTGTGGGTCATGACCGAAAGGACAAGATCCCGGATACAGCGGCGCAAATGTGCTTTCTCTGCAGGGTGGCTGGGCGATCCCTTAGAGATAGAGTGAGAAGCTCGGACACTCGGGAGGAGCTCAGTGTAGAGCCGCTGCTCCTCCACATCAAGAGGGGTCAGCTGAGGTGGCTCGGGCATCTGTCCGGATACCTCCTGGACGCCTTCACCACTTTAGAAAGTGGGATCTTGGTGTTTGTTAAGCTCTTCAACTAAACTGATTATCTCTCCTCAATTAGTAAGCTATACAAAACATTATGTGGGTGCAAAAATAACAATCAGGAAAGATAACTTCCCTGCAAATAAAAATGCTTGTTGCTGGTGTTAATTTCCCACCTTTGTTGAGAAACAAACATCTTTGTTGATCCTGGAACAACATTTCAAACAAGCAACCAGATTTGAGAGACGGTTTTACAGTTATGTCAAGTTTAGGATTACAACCAGGATTAGGTGCTTCTAAATCACTGTTATTCATCTATGATTCCCCTCTGATTTTAGGGATGAGTTATGGGTAGGGTTAGGTTTAGGGGTATAGGATTCGCACTACATTTTTGGAGTTGAATGTTGTTCCAACTTCCAGGATCAAGAATCCAGGAACATGTTGCACCAGGCAAAAATCAGTGTGACCGAGGGAGCAGATTGCATAATATGCTTTTTATGTGAAGTTGCATCTTTACACTGAATTTAGAGGTGGCTCAGAGCAGTCTTAATTTGTCAATCAGAGTCTGCATATATTATGGTTATTACATGTCACAAATGACGAATCATCTATGTGTTCTGTAAGTTACATTGGGGCTAACCTGCTGGAAGTCTATTATTTTCACTGGAAGGTCAAGTTATTTCAAGGTCTGATCGTTTTTTTTTTAAGAATTAAACATCCACAAACTGTGCACAAGATCTAGGCAACATGCATTTAGAAAATCCACAGGGTGAATTTCCACTAAGTACTGATCACATGAGTTTAAATCAAATTTAATAAGGTTCATGTGTAATGTGGGTTGTATTTGTAGTAAGGAAGGTTGGGATCAGTTAAGATACACAGATAGCCTATGTGTATTTTTATTGTATTTTTCAAATGAAAGCACATTTTCAAGCAGTTCGGTAACACTTCACAATAAGGTTCATAGTTAACATTAGTTAGCTAATGAACTGCACTTATATGGCATTTACTAATCTCAGTTGATATTAGTATTATCATTAACTATCATTAAAATCCTGGTAACATTAGTTAACTCACTGTGAACTAACATGAACAAACAATGAACAGCTTTATTTTTATTAACTAACATTAAGAAAGATTAACAAATACAGTAACGAATGCATTGCTCATGGTTAGTTCATATGTTAGTTAATATATTAAATAATGAAACTTATTGTAAAGTGTTACCAGCAGTTCTCCTTGAGAAATTGTAAACAGGTAATCTTCATGAGAAGTTGCACAGTTATGATTTATTAACATGTACGTCTGGCACGACATGTCATTTTTCTTTCCTGTCAGTCACGTGAACGTACGTACACCACTGTAATTATAGCCTTCATGAGTCACCTGTCTGTCAGCTTCATTTGTTGAAAGGGAAACACCAGGAAACTTGAAACATGTTCTAAAGACTTTATTTGCATGCCCATTTAACCAAGAACAAGAACTGTGACTGGATGTGCTGCCGTAATGAAATTCCAGTCACGCAGTAAAAATTCACGTGACGTTGCCTGTGTAGGAGGAGGCGCATTTCAATGTTTGAGTAACAGGTACATTTGAAACTCGTTAAATCTTGTTTTCAGGGGTAACCACGCCTTCGATAGTTTTTCATGAATTATTTAAACATAAAATTACAGATTTTAAGTTTTAAATAACCCCTTTTTAATAACTGGAAAATAATATTTAGTCGCAATTACTATTTCTAAGATTGTCAAATATTTCCATCACTGATATTTTTGTGACCATCGGTATTTAACAAAAAAAAACAAACAAAAAAAAAAAAATACGCCAAGGTCAAACTCGTTCTGTTTTCTCTATCCCGTTTCATAATTAAATGCCGATGACGGTCATATCCTATGTATATATGTGCAATATGTATAAACCACGTTTCCAGACTCTCAACTGCGCTTTATCTAAACCGATTATCTCTTTAAATGCACTTGTCTGTCACAACTCCATAGATGGATCTTCAGGAGAACAGCTGCGGTTACCAGATTCGTCGGAATGAGGCACGTGACGGCTTAGCAGCGCATGATTGTGACGTAAAATACCGGAGCCTGCTCGCGCTTGTAAAATGAAGTGACCTTTCTCTTTCGCCCTGATATAACTGAATCGGTCCGCCGACCGGCACGAGCAGAGTACCACGTCCCGCTAGGCAGGCAAGGAGCTTCTTCAAACGGTCTGAAAGGTAACATTTTAAACCGATAACGTCGTGATATATGTTCGCCCTGTTACAGATGTGATGTTTGAACGAAATGGAGGATTTTGAAGCTGTTCTGAGGAAGGATGACGTGAGGTTGCGTAAGCTCACCGGTGTTTCTCAAGAACAATTGTATGTCAAGAAAGGAATATGTCGGGTTTAATGATATAAAAAAACTCTGATAGTTTTTAATTACAACAAGAAAAGACTCGTTTTATGTAATTGAGCAATAATAAATATTAAGTAATTCGTGGGAAAGTGTGTTCTTTAATGTGAGGCTAGCCAGATATGAATATGATATACCGGTTAACGTTAGCTGCTAGCTTCAGCAACGTGGATCTACACCCGGTTCACAAATTTTGCTGTGATCTTCAAAAAATATAGTTTAAATGAGTCTTTTTGGTAAGTTTAATAGGAATTTTGCCACACAAACTCTTTTCCGACTACTTATTAATTTTAAGATGGTTCTAACAGGCTGATTTCCCAACGAGCTATACATCAGTGATTAAGGCTTCTTTTAATAAAGGCGATTTGAGGTTATCCTCGGATGAACAACGTAATACCAAGATGTTTACAGATACATAGGCTTCTGGCAGGGAAACGTGCTTATCCATCTAACCAAGAAACCTGCAGCAGATGCTTTACATCTCCTTAGGTGGTGAACTGACCTTATAAGCTGTTTTAGAGCTTATATTGGTTGATTTATGTCTTGAAGGTGTTTGGTTGAGCATGTAGATGCTCCATCCTCGAATGACCTTCTGATGATCTGTCCTCTGTGTTTTAAAAGAGTTTACCCTCCAAATGCCTTTCTGCAGTGTTTTCACATCTCCTTTTCTTCTAGGTAAATATGGGTGACGCTGATAAGGGTAAGAAGGTTTTCGTCCAGAAGTGTGCCCAGTGCCACACTGTTGAAAATGGTGGCAAGCACAAAGTGGGGCCAAATCTTTGGGGACTTTTTGGTCGCAAGACTGGCCAGGCAGAGGGGTATTCCTACACAGATGCCAATAAGAGCAAGGGTAAGGCTGATTGATAAAGTACAGCTTGTCTTTTGTTTCGCGATGAGATGGAATGGTAATGTTTAACCAGTCTTTTTCATGTCTCTTCTCAGGCATTGTCTGGGGTGAAGATACCTTGATGGAATATTTGGAGAACCCCAAGAAGTACATTCCAGGCACAAAGATGATCTTTGCCGGGATCAAGAAGAAGGGCGAGAGAGCAGACCTTATTGCATACTTAAAGTCGGCCACATCATAATACAGATGGAGAACGGGGAGGCAGCAATATTTAAATAAAATGTTTGTAGTTTGGATTTGAATGTCTTTAACAATATCTATTCAGACGGTGTGACAGATCAGGGGGCCAGGATTATTCATCATAACGGGGCATGCTTCTTAAGCCAGCCCATTTTAGCTGTGAGGATTTCCATTTTTTTTTTTTTGTCAAAGTAAAAGTCAAGTTACTGCCGGTCCCCAGTGTTTCCACTGAGGGAATGAAAACTCACCTGGTTTCACAGGAGCTGTTAAATTAAAATATTTAAAACCCTGTTAGTATTTTAATCGCAATGAGTTGTCTGAACAAGCAGCATGCTTATTGGTAACAAACTGTAATGGATGGATTTGAACTGTCAAATAAAACGGTCAAAATGGTCCATTTGTTATGTTTTTTTCTTCTAGCTTTTCGTGTTGTAATGCACATGCTTTGTGATGTGCAGTTTTAAGTGAAAGTGCAACATTTCTAAGTTTCTGTTTTCAGTGTACTAAGCTGTAAGAGTCCAATAACTCGGGCGACATTGTACTCAAGACCTTTTAACTCGGGATATAAAGTGTCAGGCATACTCTTACAACCCTCTGAGAAATGTCAGGGCAATTCCTGACAAAGTCCTGGTTAAAAGATGTGGCATGCATATGGTTTGCCATTAAAATTGAATCATCGTCATAGTCATGGTTCAATATAAAGGGTGTGGCTTTTGTTTGATTTCCAACGGAAATTAAGCTTTCTGATCAGGAAATTGGGTATCTATAGCACTGCTGTAAGAAAATGATAGCATTATTATTATTGAATATAATATTACTGCAAATTCAATATCACTAAAGTGCTCTTTGATTAAATAATTTTGATGACTAGGAAACAAGATGCTTTGTGTCCTCTGTTTTTCAGATACGTTATCCAAATGATAGATACAAATCTGAAATAACTGTCAAGTAACTAACATTAATGGATATAAGCAGATTTAATTTAATCTTTAGCTTGTACAGGTTGGTTAATTGGTGTATGTGACCTGTGTACTGAGCTCAGCAGTAGCTTCATGAGTAATTAATTTAAATCCCCACACGTTTACCAGGACAGACGTGTTATCAGTTTGAAGGATCCTTATCAGAGCTAAGCTTTGACTTTTGACTCAAACGTTATATCTGGATACGTGCAGTTTACGTTAGAGAGCAAAGTCTCACCAGAGAACCGAGACCTCGCAGAAAAGTGCACAGCTGGTCAAATCCAGTCTAATCAGCACTTTACATCAATCCTAAAAAATAATCGGGTTTTGTGAAGGTTCATAATATATTTGGAGTATCATAAATATATTTGGAATACATAATGCAATGTCAGTAATGAAAACAATCTGCTTTATATGATTAAAGAATCTTTTTTTTATTCAACTTTCATAAAAGCTTATGATGACATTTTACATCAAACATAAGACAAACACATAATGGGGAAAACACATTTTACATTGTAGAGTAAAACATTAAATTTGAGATGTGTTATGCACTCCTTATTTCTAGTGATTGAATTCAAAGAGTCATGGAATATTGAAAAATCTTTACAAACGAAATTAAAGGAGGGTTTTATAGACATTACTTTAGCTTTATGTATATGAAATTTCCCAAGAAGAATTATTAACTTTAAAGTGTTATCAATTATATCTGAGCCAGAATTACAATCTAAGAAGATGATCATTGCCTCATCTATCCTGATTATTTTGTAGAATGTATCAAAAAAAACATCATAGATACTTGCTTCCAAAAGTCTTCAGAATATTTACAATTACAAAATAAATGTAATAGAGTTAGAGTCAAAATTACAAAAACAACATAGTGGAGAGAAGTCTTTTTTAAACTTGTTAAGAAATTACAGAGATAATACCTGTGTAGTATTTTGAAATGAATTTCTTTGACCTTGTTTGGCAGTAAAAATGTATTACTTGCAGACCAGATTGTCTCAGAAGAGGGGATACGCTTAAATAATCTACCCTGACTCACTAAAGTTTCAATGTCATTAGAAGTGTCATTCCAAATTAAAATGCCGCCATCTAGTGGGCACCGACAGTTACGCAACGCTATTTTGTAACACTTTTTGAAGGTTGCACAATCAACATGCATATTTGATATAGCACGTCAGACATGACTTTCATTCGTAAACTGAAACAAAAAAATTCAACAATACTCACCCTATTCAGCCTATATTTTGTATTAATGTAAGGTGAATGCTGGTTGAAATGGAATCCATTCCATTAGAGAATGTCTGTCATAATTTACTTACCCTCAGGAGGATGCCCCAAACCTGAGGGAATTTCTTTCTTCTGCTGAACACAAAAGAGGAAATTTTGGAAAATACCCTACTGAGTGTTTTAGTGGAAAAATTAAAAATGGAAGATACAATGAAAGTCGAGTGAATGGAATATGTCAGTGAAATATAGGCTATTGGCATTTTGGCCGGTATCAGTTATTTCGGTGTTGCGAACATGTATGTCGTTAAAAAACATATGTTTTTCGTAGGGTTGAGTCCTATTTAAAGCTATAAGACGAGAATATCTTGTTGATTTATTATGCCTCTGACAGAGCCTAAATAGAGCAAGTAGGTAGGTCTACCACCGTGTCATGGAGAGGAACCTCAGTGTCAAAGAGGTAACAGTGTTAAATTACAGTGTCAACAAAAAACAACATCCTTTCACTTCTTATTTGATATATGTTTGACCGACAATCTATGACCGGACTGTGAACACGGGTGCCAGGTAATCTTGTAAAGATGTAAGAGTGTGCCATAGACATAATCGTTATTTCTGTGACTTCTGCATTAACATTCTCAACCTCCAGGTGAATGTGTTAACAAAAACCGAAATATGAGAAATATGATTAAAGGGATAGTTCACTTTGAAAATAATGTTTGATGTCTTAGCTTGCCTTAAGGGCATACAATCCAAGATGTAGGTGTCTTTGTTTCCACAGTATTTTCAATATTGAAATTTTTTGGTCAAACGTTGTTGTCTGTCAGTCATATAAATGGAGGTCTATGGAGCCCACTTCAAATAGCATGCACAGAGAAGTCCAAATTAAACATGATTTAATGACTCATAAATGTAAGTACACATTGATGGCCTAAGACACAAAACGAGCAGTTTGTGTGAGAAGACGAACAATATTTATATCGTTTTTACCTCGTGTAACCACAGCCATGTCCACCTCATCTGAATCGGTTGTTCAATGTAGAAACAACCTGAATCATGACCAACGTTCCACGTCCGGAAGTGATCGCGTGTGTGTATACGTCACTCATTGTTTACACAGAGATTTCGGAAGTTTAACCCTTTTACAGGTGTTACCCCAAGGGGGTAATCTTTTTTTATTTATTTTTTTTATTGCAATTTCAAGATTTACAAACAAACATGGCTGCATAACTTCCTTTTCTTATATAGAATACAAATAAAATATAGAGGGAGCAGCACTTAATACAGCAAGAAAATAAATGTAGTCTGAGTACAAAAAAATAAGGATAGGCCTATTTTTAAGGAAAATAAACATTTAAATAAATAAATGGTAGGAATTATGATACAACAAACATATGACAATATAAGGGGTGAATGCAGTCTTTGTTCATCCATTTATCTCAGCCCTTTACCTTTCTCTAAACATATTTAGATATATCGAAATTGTCTTCCATTGCGATTTCCTGTATAGAGTGCCGAAGTTACGACGTCACTCGTAGGCTAAAACGCGGAAGTGAGTTAGCATTTTAGCATTACGCTTCCCTCGCTCTAAAGCCTATGGGATTTTTGAATGGGTTTTTGCTAAATCGCCTGAAACAAGGTCTGTGGTGAACAGAGCCTCTAAATATTTTCACGTTTTGATCTATGACGTAGAACACACAATTATAACCTGCTTGTGGTTTTTTAAACTTTATTGTCTGATTGTGTTTTTTTTTTAAATTTTTTATATAGGCTTCAAAATTTATAAATTTTGGATTAACTTGTAAAGATTATCTTGCTAGACAAAACGTGTAAGGGTCACAGCCCTTTGTTAAACACAGATCTTATTTTTTGCGATTTTCCAAAAGTCTATGGGGAAATGCATTGCTTTTCGACCGAGGGAACCCATGCGCCGCTAGCTTCCCAGTTGTCCTACAAAGTGACGTCATCACGCACGGTGTAAACAATGAGTGAAATACACATGCACGCGATCACTTCCGGCGGAAGTTCGAACGGACATGATTCAGTTGGATCAGAGCCTTGGATGTTGGACAACTGATTCAGCAGTTCAGCTGGACATGGCTGTGGTTACACGAGGTAAAATAGATATAAATACTGTTCGTTTTCTCACACAAACCGCTCGTTTCGTGTCTTAGGCCATCAATACGAGTCATTAAATCATGTTTAAATTGGACTTCTCTTTGCATGCTCTTCGACGTGGACCACCTAAACCTGCATTATGTGACTGACAGACAACAACGGTTTGACCAAAAAATGTCAAAATTGAAAATACTGTGGAAACAAAGACACCTACATCTTGGATGTCCATGCCCTTGAGGTAAGCTAAAACATATCAAAAATTAATTTCAAAGTGAAGTATCAGTGCATGTGCTGCCACAGAACTCCACTAGAGGTCAGCAGACAATTCTTTCTTTCTTTCTTTCTTTCTTTCTTTCTTTCTAAAGGTTTCTATATATAAAGTGTTTAAACTCTAAACTTATATTTCATATACTAATGTCACCTACCAAACTTAAACCAATTTCCTTTAAAATATACTGAAACCACCATAAAATAGAGGTGGTGACAAATGCCACATTATTAGGTGCAGTTACAAAATGGCCTTTTAGATCCACTTTGGCTAATAAACGTTTTATTATTAAATCTTGAAAAGATTGCATTAAAAATTTAAAAGTAACTAGTGAAGGGGAAAAATGAATTAAAATAGTGAAATAGAGTTCTTTCAACATTTAGTCATCCTCAAAATGTTCCAAACCAGTATGAATTTCTTTCTTCTGCTTAACACAAAAGATATTTTGAGGAGTATGGGTAACCAAACAGTTGATGGACCCCATTGACTTCTGTAGTATGAAAGAAAAAAATACAAAGTCAATATCATTTGATTATCAACATTCTTTAAAATATCTTGTTTTGTGTTTGAAGCAGAAGAAAGAAATTTATACACGGTTGGAACAACATGAGGGTTCATTTTTCGTTCCCTTTAATGGTTGTTGGTAAAGCTTGCATTCAAATACTCAAGCACAACATTTTATTTCACTTAACGCCTTTTTCATGGATAACATTTATAGTCAGCAGAGTAGTCTCTTCAGGCAATACAGTAAAATAGTGAGAGTTTAGCCACTCATACATTATGTGTTATTTATTCAACAAATGACTGACTGGCTACTTCAAATATATTACACTTATAGGATTATAACTTTCCATAAACCATTTTTGTTCCAGCAGCGTTGAGCAATATAAACCAGTATAAGTTCCAATAGAATTTACAAGCCAAGAATACAAAATTGTATACTTTCATACTTGTGAAATATCCTTGACGGGATAAAGAAGAAAAACATAACACTGTTCAAAACATTAGAAGGTTTCATAAACCTGCAAGCCGTTAACCAACAATTAAGGTCATTTGAGTTATCACATCGTCATACATTTCCATTGTTCATTTTAATAACTGTGTTGACTCAATCTCTTTTTCATATGCTGTTAATAATTTATTCATAAACATAATCATTATTATATAAATACTAGTAAGAGAGGGATGCGGTTAACAGATCTGAAAAGTTAATTTGAAGTCAATATCTAACAAAATTAGATGAACAAAATGCATTCATATTACAGTTAAGTATATACTTCAAACCAGTCATGAAACTCATAAAACCAAGCCTTTATTTTCTCGGGGATCAATATGGATTTGAAGGGTGGAGCTTCTAAAGCAAAGTTCTGTAATGCACTGACCACACACTCACACAGCCAGAGTGGACCACAGAACTTTCCCCGAGGAGCCATGGTTGAGTGTGTGTATGTGTGTGTTTCTCTGTTTAAGTGTGTCCATATGTGCGTATGCGACTTTGGCAGAGGAAGCCTGTTTTAAAATTCTAGAATTATCTTTAAAATGTATCAAACATGTCCTGTTATCAACTGGGCTTCAGTCAGTCTGCTTGCAGTTGCAGTTGCCTTGGTTGAAAAGGTAGCCCTCTCAGGACCAATCAGCTTCTGAGGATCCTGGGAAGTAAAACACATGTTAGAATTTATGTCCACTCACTAGAATTAGCTGACGTGTCTTCGAGCATTTACAACTTCAAACTGTTGCAACAATATTAAATCTTTATATATTTAACACAGTCTGTAATGGAGGATGTATTTCATACAATCACAAAGGTCTATTACAAGGGGTGGGGGTGGCTGGGGGTATTACAAGAAAAAAGAGGTTTACAATGAATTGTTTATAGGCTACACAATTTATGGAAAAAATGTAAATGTCCCTAACATAGGCCTAGACTATAACATTGCAATTCACCGATTCAGTTTTCAGAAGCATATTTAGGATCTACAATGAACTATACTGGCCTATATGAATTTGAGAAGAGCTAAACTATTATTTGAAACAAGTCATCTGTGATTTTGCAGAGGCTCTCTTCTCGGGGTTTGCATCCTAAACTTCTCAAATGAATTTGTAAAATAGTTTAAGCCTGGCATCACTTTAAGAACTGACTAAAAAAGGTAATTTTATACGCAGGCTTTCCTGAGTTTATTGCATTCCGTCCAAAAACATAAACTTTGGGCCAAAGCTACTGATGAAAGTTTAATATTGGACAGTAAAGTGTCTGCTTACCTCGCGGTTGACCGGTGTCTCTCCTAGCTGTGTCTCGAAACAGGGTAACAGGCTGAATGTATCGCTGGACCCCCTCTCTGCCGTCGCTAAAGGAATGTCGACGTGGAGCTGCCAAACGTGAACGTGTAGGGCACTCATGAACGCGCTCGTCGGAGAGTCTTCTCTGAGCTCGTACCCTTGGCATAGGTAGAGTGGGCATGGCGCTAATCGCAGCTACCTGTTACATTTCGTGGCGTGTTGAAAGCTGAGGGGGGTGAAATTCTTGAAAGACGTAGCCCACAATTGATTCATTTAAAAAGCTGTATCCTATTTCGTTGTACTTCATAATTCAATGCATTGTAGCCTACAATTACATTGTGAGCGTTTAATATTTTGAGCAGTTCGTTACGCGGTTCATCCTCACAAGAGGTTCATCCTCGTTTTACTTGGCCTTTTAAAGTTAACTTATTTTAAATTATATTTTTGGTAGCCTAAAGTTGTGGCTATGTTTTGGAAAGAAAATCGGATCGATTTTATGTCATTTTACGTTTTAATTAGGTAAACCTGTGCTTTTCTGTTTGTGTATGTGAAGAATCAAAATACATTTTATTAACTTTTGCATTGATAAGGAAAAAGGTTTGTAAAGGCATGTTATTAAGTGATGTAGGCATGTCTCGTTTTGTAGGAGGTTTTTCCGTTTGATTGGCTGATGTTTTGTCCCTGTATTTGTTATCTGCTTTTTGATTGGCTGATGGACAATATGGGCGGTGTCCTCTCTGTATTTGGGATCTGTTACACGCGCGTGTCGTCAGATTTGATACAGCAATGTGCTTTGCTGTCGCTTTTTTTTTAGTCCTCCATCAGACAAGTTTATCCACAGCAGTTTAAAGACATGGACGCTTCTGCTCAGTTTCTACATGATTCGGTAAGTAAAAAACAACAACAATATGTTCATGAGAAACCAAATATATTTTGTTAAACATTCACCTTGGACTGGGTTCATGAAATATCAATGGAATAAAATCAAGGACTCATTTGTTTTGAAGTGGTTTTTCCATAACCTATTATTTCCTGAGATGAACTTGAAAGAAAAGTGTCTTACAAGCTGAAGTTAAATATTATTAGACATTGGAATTTTAACCTTACTAAAGTTGTAGCAGTGTTTAAAAGAAATAAAAGAAAGTTAGCATCATGAATAGGTCTATACATTTACTGTCAGCATCTCAGTATCTCAACCTCTTTTTAGTCAAATAATAAGAGCAACTGTAATTTCATGATCCAACCAGTTAAGAAAGCAATCAGTCTTATATTCAAAGCCAAAATACAGATTTTGGGAAAGTGTGTGTGTGTGTGTGTGTGTGTGTGTCATATTACAATGATTTCTAAAGGATCATGTGATGCCATCACATGAACATTTCCTGAAAATAGGGAGAGAAAAAATAAATTGTAATACAATTTCACAAAATGACTGTTTTACATTATTACCAGTATTGATCGGATAAATGATGGTTGGTGAGCATAAGAGACCTCTTTCAAAAACATAAAAAATCATACTGACCCCAATGTTTGAACAGTAGTGTATGTCTTAAAAAAAAAAATCCAATTTTTGTAACCAGTTAATGTGTTGAATAACACGTGTACACCGGTGGTAAATCACTTTAGATATCACAAAAATGGCTCTGAATTGATGGTCATGCATCATTTGTTTTAGGGACCTTTTATCCACCATGTGACAGTATAATAAAGTAATTATATGTGCAGTAGCATATTAAAACTTTGCAAATTGATCCTTGTTTTTATGAATATTAGGCTATAAATGGTGAGTGGCAGACAATGACAAAAGCTTTGTTGCAGAGGTCTCTGATGCAGGGGGAGGCCACCCAGAAAAAAACAAAAAAATTGTCTTGGCTGTCATGAATTCAAGTGAGTGGGTTGGTTAAATAAACATTTCACTTTGTGCACCTGATCCAGACACACCTATTACCTCACTACTGTTTCAGGGTGGATAGCCATTTACCCCAGAGAGAAGAGTTAATTCACAAATCCGTTGTCCTTTATGCACACAAGGCTCTATCAGCCTGTCTACTCTTTAACACAGTTGCATCATCACATTCACCACCCAGTTGTAGGCGTGAGTATTCACCTTTCACTCAGCTCACCTTTATACCTTCTTTCTCCCTGTTATTCTTGTTTTGGATTTTTCTCATTATATGAGTAATTCGTTTTTTCCGCAGTTGCTTGGTGAACTAAATTCACAATCTCTTACATAATCTGGAGCATTTATTTAATTGCGTGACTCCAGCGAAAGGGCAACAAGTTCAAGGCTTTTATGACCGAATCCATTACAAATGCTATGAGCGCGGCTTTGAAGCAAGTTATGTTTGTGTACCAGCATAAAAGTGCGCTCACTCAGAGGACCGTGGTGTCATGGCCTTCAGGTTAACACACATACACTGAAACGGCAAAGCTGGAATGGACACACACTAGTTACGGGGTCTGAATATGTACATTTTAGGTGCTAAAATGGATGTTAAGATGCTAATATGTACATTTTAGGTGCTAATATGGACATTTAGGTGCTAATATGTACATTTTAGGTGCTAATATGGACATTTAGGTGCTAATATGTACATTTTAGGTGCTAATATGGACATTAAGGTGCTAATATGGACATTAAGGTACTAACATATACATTTTAGTTGCTAATATGGACATTAAGGTGCTATTATGGACATTTAGGTGCTAATATGTACATTTTAGGTGCTAAATATTAGGTGCTAATATGTACATTATAGGTGCTAATATAAACATTTAGGTGCTAATATGTACATTTTAGGTGCTATTATGTACATTTTAGGTGCTAACATGGACATTTAGGTGCTAATTTTCACTGAAGAAACAAAAACTATTGATATTCAGTCAGAACTAAATTAACATGAAATGAACTAATCTTATAGTGATCTGAAAGGTGTGTTGTGCCAGGAGAAACATCCGTTAGCATTTCCATCTCAAACACCGATGTTCTGCTAGTTCTACTCCCCAAAAGTTTGCCATTTGAATTGTTATCTTTGCTCATGGGTACTCTAACCGGTTTTAACCTGCATTCAGGTTTGTTTTCAGCCAATCAACTGGACTATGCCAATCAGCCAAACATTTACCCCTTTGCCTCAAATGATCTGATATGAAATGAACTTACCTGCCCCTCTCTGCCCTTATCTGAACTGACATGAACTTCCCTGATGTGGTCTGAACGGTTTCTATTTTCAGTTCTACATCTGTAGTGCGCACCACATATGTCATTGACATTTATTTTGAGTAGAAAACAAAGTAGAAAATTGGTCTTGTGTCATATATCATGTAGATAAGCTCCCTCAGTGGCAGCACAACCTATGACCATTTACAATCAGGGCTCATAAATACTCGGATTACGATTTTATGATATCAAAATAAGTGATTACAAGGGATCTTATTTTGTCCACAACAATACCGTACGACCCCATAAATTCTCCAGTCGTTTGTGAATGTCCATGGAGTTGTAAGATTCTATATTAACATGACTTTTTCAGCCTACCTCATGTAATGCAGGTTTTCCACAACAGTGAAAAAGAAAAACTAATGAGGGGGTGTATTAAAATGAGACATATCTTAATTGTTTGTTGTTTTAGCTTATTTTAATTGAAATTTGGCTAATGCTCCCTGGTTGAGAACCACTGTCTGATATGTAAAATCAAAGCGTGTTTACTGTATAAAAAAGATCCACCATGATAGTGTTTATTGTAATGCTACACCAACCTGTTGCACCAGTTTACAGGTGTGTTTGGTAAGAAGGTGCACCTGCAAGGCAAATTAATGTGAATTCAAATCACGTACAAAAACATGACTGATATCGCCAGAGAGTTCACGGAAAGTTTATGCAAACATGCTCTTATTGCAATATGAGTGTGCACGGCCACATACAAACATGGTAAATTGTCTGTTTTACATTGTGTCTCTGTGTTTAGGACTTGATTGATATTTTATGGAGGCAGGATGTCGATTTGGGGGTGGAACGAGAGATCTTTGATGGATGCCTTCGGCAGAAGGAGGAGACCATGAGAGCAAGAGACAGAGAGTTGAAAAGAGAGAGAGAGCTTGAAAGGATAATGCAAAGGTTACAGAAACTTGACAAAGAGACTGGAGAGTTTTTGCCTAGTCCTTCATCCGTGAACTCCCAGGTAAGCATTTCATTAACTACACATAAACACTGTGGATCTTTTAATTTATATAAAAAACCTTAAAGTCTCCCCTCACTCTCTATTGTGTAGTGTTGCTTACAGAGTTATTTTACTTGTTTTAGGCTGTGCCCTTCTCAGAGACGTTGCCAGCTACGGTTTCTACACAGCATTCTCCCGTTACCCAGAATCCCCTGCTATCTGCCCTGCTATTCTCTAAGTCTCAGAAGCTTCCTTCTCAGGAGCAGGCTTTTAGTGAACTTCTGTCACTGCCAGACTTACAGGTGCGCATGCAAACAATGCAGAAAGACATACACAGACACGCCTGAACTGGTGCATGTTTGTCTTTTGAGTTTAGTCATACTGTATGTTTTTTGATTTACAGACAAATATATATATATATATATAATTGCTCTTATATTATTTTTTCTATTTCTGTATATTTAAAATGTGCTTGATGATAAATAAATCATAGTTTAATTACAAATATAATTTAATATATAATTAGCTTTAATAAATATTAGCTTCAAAGTGAGGGGTAATTATTTTCGTAAATTTAAATGATGCAATAACATGCAAAAAGTATCTTGTTTCATTCTAAATTAATCTTAACTTATTCACTGTTCAATATATTTAGGTAAACATTAATGTAAGCAAATAGTACCATATATCTTATCAGCAATATTAAAAAGCAATAGTCATTAATTTGAGGTGTGTGCTTATCTGAGATACAGTGAGTTAATGTTTAAATATTTTTATGGAGTATATAGCATGCAGGTAATGTCCCTATCATCTCTGAAATAGGCGTTCTAATATATATGAAGATTACAAAATATAGTAAAAAAGTACAACAGTAATATTTGTGAATAATTATCTGTTTTATAATGTACTATATTTAAAGATGTAATTTTATTTCTTAAAACATTCTTTAACAATTCTAATATACTGACTTAATATAAACATTTCCTATTATCAATGTTCATTTTTGTGGAAACCATGATACATTTTCAGGATTCTTTAAAATAAAGTTCAAAAGAATTAAGCATTTATTTAGATAGAATGTTTTAAATTGTAACCATTTGAAAGTGACCATTTCTTTTTAATGCCTCCTTGCTTACAATAAAAGTTTTAATTTTTGTAAAAATAAAGAAAATGTACTGGCCTCAAACATTTGAACTGTAATGTACTTATTATACATACTATGTTAGCCATTAATGAATAGAAACTTGATAATTTTTCTCAAGAAGATAAATATTGTGTAAATGTCTTTTGATCGATTTAATGCCTCCTGGCTAAATAAATATATGAATTTCTTTAACAAAAAAATCTTTCTGACCCCAGACATTTGAAAAGTAGTGTATATAATTTAGTTTATCATGTACAAGTCAAGTTACCTTTACTTATGTAGCGCTTTATACAATACAGATTGTTTCAAAGCAGCTTTACAGGAAAATGATTTAGTGATGCAAACAGGTCATTTAGGCTGTACAGCCGCTCTAAAAGAAAACAGTGTCATTGTTCAGCTGAAGCCAGTTCAGTGTTGATTCAGTTCCATTATAAAGCTCATCAATTATAAAATTAGTTCATTCCCACTATAAAGCAGCATTGCAGAAAATGATGCGCGTCATCATCACTGCTCAGTTCAGTTCTCATGCCGTCAAATCAATAATATTGTTGAGTATTAAGTGGTCCCAACTAAACAAGCCAGAGGCAGCTGTAGCAAGGAACCTAAACTCCATCAGGTGACCGAAATGGAGAAAAAAAAATCATAAGAGAAACCAGGCTCAGTCGGGGGGCAGTTCTCCTCTGTCCAAGTAACAAATAAGTCAGAAGTCAGATTGTGGATCGGTAGCGTTCAAATATTTTTCATCCAGTTCGTTTTGCTTGAAGATCGGATTCATCACCCCAGTATGGAGACGTAGCTGGCCATAGAGGTCTTTGCAGAGAACTTCCCTGGTTCTTGTGGTCTTTGCTGAAGAAACTGTGCTGATGGCTATCGTGTCGACGAGGCCTTCTCAGCAGATTGTCTAGTTGACAGGATCTCTGCTGACATTCAGTGCTGTGATGAGGTCGTGTCTAGGTGCAGGGCCACCATCTGATCTGGATACTACCCGGATCCGGATGACTACGGTAACCTCAGAATAAACAGAGAGACTAATAAAGCATAGTTGTCTTTCTTTTTACGATGTAACAAGTACATCTGGTGTAAAGGAAGTGTTCCTGGTTCCGGTTGATCTAATTCATGTAGCCTTACAACCATAACGAATGTGAATATAAATGTGGTAATGTCTATACCAGGTTAAAGAGATGTGTTTTTTTAGTCTAGATTTAAACTGACAGAGTGTGTCTGCTTCTTGAACAGTGCTAGGAAGACTGTTCCAAAGTTTGGGTGCTGAGTAGGAAAAGTATCTACTGGATGCAGTTGATTTTTGATATTCTAGGTTTTATCAACTGGTCAGAATTCTAAGATTGCAATGGACATGAAGGACTATAACGTGTTAAGGGCTAGCTCAAGTACTGGGGAGCTAAACTTTTTAGTGCTTTGTAAGTAATTAGCAAGATTTTAAAACGTATGCAATGTTTAATAGGGAGCCATTGTAGTGTTGATAGAACTGGGCTTTTATCGTCTCACTTCCTGGTTCTAGTAAGAACTCAAGCTGCTACGTTTTGAACTAGCTGGCGTTTGTTTATTAAGCGTACAGGGTAACCACCCAGTAGTGCATTACAATAATCTAGCCTTGTGGTGTCCTAGAATGTATTGAAACAATATTTGAATTTTGTCTCAGATATCTACATAGAGGGTATTTGGCTTATTTAAGGGCATTTTAAATGTCTAGTTATGGTTTTACAGGTCCATTTCCAACTCTAGAAATTGCCCCTAGAATGAAATTATCTATTTTTACATAGACCCTTGTTTGGAAGGGTCATGAATAGTAATGAGGAGTTCTGCTCTAAATGGCTGTTTCACTGCAGGCTCAGTGAAACAATTGGACTAACAAATGGACTAATGTTAGATGTCTCTTCAAATAAATATAGCTTCAACTTATTTGGTGGAGAATGTGACGTTAGTTAGAAGGATCGAGTGAGCTAACATTATCTGTGAGCAACTAAACTAACGTAGTTAGCCCCTGACGTGTTGTTGATGAAGTAGACGAAAGTAAAAATTATTTGACAAAAGCGATATATATCTACAGTATTATTTTGTAGATTTATTTATGACCACACAGGCAAGAAATATTAACCTCAGCGCAAATACTTTGTCATACTATTTAGTTATGAATGCTCGTTACTTGGAGTTTGCTATTTGTATACAGTATAAATTTTACACAGTATAAATTATCGTTAATAAAATCACTACTTGCCGCTTGCGGGAATGTAGTTGGAATTGCCCCCTTCTTCAGTATGAGAGAAGCCTACTTGATATTGTCCCAGGTTAGAAAATAAGTCCGTGGTGAAATGGGCAGAGCCAACTAACAATTTCGATTTAAACTGTTGTGGTAACGTTATCCTATTAGAGATATACATCAACCACACCTGTTGACATTTCTTTTCTGTGTGAAGGGTATGAAAAGTCCTTTGCACAGCCTGAAACATAACATTTGTTTCCATGATCAGCCATTTTCCATATGATCCTCGCTTCACCTGCAGAACTTCAGATGATTCAGCTGCACAGTTCTGCTTGGCAAATGCAAATTTTTGGAGGTGTACATACTAATGATCCCGAATGTTGCATTACAGTCGGTGTTATGTGGAGATTCGCCTATTTTTCAGGGGTGTTTTTTTAAACACGAGATTTAAATGAGGAGGAGAAAACAATGGTGTTTGAGACTCACTGTATGTCATATGTCCTTGTTATATAACCATGCCAAGATAAATTGAGTTTCACTCAATGTAGCCCAGAAGTATAACGATGGGGGTTGGGTGTCACTGAAGGTGGTGGAGGGGAATTGTGTTATTGAATCGAGGGGAAACATCTGTGTCTGGGGGGCCTGTTGGTTGCGCTCACTGGCAGTTCTGGGTCAGCCCTCTGACCCAGAGTTTAGAGCAGATGTGCAATAAAAATAAAATTAAATGTATTCTTATTGTCATATTGCTATTGTCACTACTGTTGTAGATTGCTATAGCCTATATTACTATTATTGTCATTAATATTATCATTATAAATACTATCATTGATACTGCCACCACTAGCACTAATACAGATACATATATATATATATATATATATATATATGTATATATTTCTTTGTGTTTGTCAAAGTCTCTATCATATCCTCTACAACTATTCAGATACTACCGAATTGCATCACAGAAAGGATCTCGTGTGCCTACATATACCACTTTGTCGATAACTGTGTGGGGCTGTTGTGAGTTTTTCTGTTCTCTGTTGTTTTTTTTTTTTTTTGTTTTGTTTTTTTTGTTTTTTTTGTTTTTTGTTTCCCCTTTCCTACTTCTGTATTGTAGATGTGTCTCACAGTGTATGCTTGATTTACTCTGTGTTCACACTTGTAGTGTTTCTAGAGCAAAGATGAAAATGACACATTTAGTCCTTGTTCAAAAAATAAATAAATAAAAAAAATAAAAAATAAATAAATAAATAAATTAAAAAAAAATAAATAAATAAAAAAAATAAATTGAGTTTCAAATTCTAGGGCACCATTAACACCTGAACTAACTTTTTTTCTGCATTTGTCATTGAGAGCATATGTCAAAATTTAGATATATTTTTTAAGATGGAAAAATGTTGTTTTACAGATGTTAAAATGTGGCTTTCAAATGAGATGTGCTGAGGTTTTTAGTTTAATAATTAAAACCTCTGTTTTTCAGTAGTAGGAAGTAGTAGGAAATGACTAATCATTCACTTTTTGCATTCCGTTAATTTTGTGAATTGGCATGTTTCATCTGGGCGTAAAGAAATATAGAGCTGAGTATTATCAGCGTAACAGTGAAAACTAATGGCATGCTTCCTAATGATGCCTCCCAAGGGTAGCATGCACAGGGTGAAAAGCAATGGTCCTAGTACTGAGCCTTGAGGTACTCCATACTGAACTTGTGATCGATATGACACATCTTCATTTACTGCTACAAATTGATACTGGTCAGATGACCGGAAGTATAATTTGTACAGTCTACATGTACATTAGCGCTAAAATCTTAGTAGCCTGATAAATAATTCACAATTTATCAAATAAATGTAATATTTTTTTTAATACAAGTAAAAAAATGTCTTGTGATTAACACCAAAAAGTTTAAATGTTTGTTGCCTATATCATGCCTCATCATAAATTGTCAGAATAATACATTTAAAATATAATTAAATATAATTTGTTCTTAAAGGGTTAGTTCACCCAAAAATGAAAATTCTGTCAGTATTTACTTACCCTCATGTTGTTCCAAACCTCTATGTGTTTCTTTGTTCTGCTGAACACAAAGGAGGATATTTGGAAGAATGTTTTAATCAAACAGATCTCATTCCCCATTGACTAGTCAATGGGGATTGAGATCTGTTTGATTAAAACATTCTTCCAAATATCTTCCTTTGTGTTCAGCAGAACAAATGGGTGAGTAAATACTGACAGAATTTTCATTTTTGGGTGAACTAACCCTTTAACATATAATTATTTAAATATGCCTGTTGTATTTGATATACTGTTTTGTTTCTCTGTTAGTATTATCTGGATGTCTTGGAGTCTGAGGGCTCAAGTTTGCCCTTGGAGGATATCACCGAAATCTGCCACCATCACCTGCCAGAACCACAGAGGGAAAACCCAACAGATGAATTATGTGGTATCAGTGAAGTCACACAGATAATATCAGACTCTTATGAGGTTGCTCAGCCTTTGTCATGCATGCCCTCTGACCCATTAGAAGTCCTAGAAACATGCATAGAGACGTTCTCAGATCCAGGCAATCTTACACCTTCACCTTCAAACACAATTTACAGCTGTAGTACCCCTAAGAATCAAGGAATTTTAACTAAATGCCAAACAAACTCAAGCGATTCAACCCTCAGTGAGTTTTGCCCTGATATAAATACATATACCATCAATACTAGCACAGTCAGTGAACCAGAACAATTAAATGGTGCGCGGGAAAGGAACGCTCCACAAATGCTATCACAATTTGGGGGGCGTCACATTCTTCTGGGTTTTGATGACTCTGCTTCTGTTAGCTCTGTGGATTTAGAGACATCCCTCTATGCGGTTGACACCTTAAGCAACGGCCAATCAGAAAAGGATGAGCTGGAGAGCATCCAGTCGGATTACAGTGATCTGCTGCCTTTATCTCTCCACTCTGAGACTGTAGAGGCAGCAATATATGAAAGTGCTATGTGTGCACATTCACAACACCAAACTCAAAACGAATCAACACCTGAAAATTCACAAAAAGAACCTCAGTCAAATTTTACAACCGCAAACAGAGCTGCAGGTGTCCGGCGTGCATGTCGTGACGAACAGAGAGCCCGAGCGTTGGGTTTGCCGATTAGTGTGCATGACATCATCAACCTGCCCGTGGAAGCGTTTAACGAAGCCATCGGCTCCTGCAAACTTAACAACGCTCAACATGCACTCATTAGAGACATTCGAAGACGTGGCAAAAATAAAATGGCAGCCCAGAGCTGTCGCAAACGAAAGCTGAATAGTCTCGTTGATCTCGAAGACGAGATTGAGGTTCTGAAGAGGGAGAAGGATAAAAGCAAGGAAGAAAAAGAGAGAAACACTAGAGATCTTCGTGAGACGAAAGAGAAGCTCAAGAATCTCTACAATGAGGTGTTCGGACAGCTGAGAGATGAGCATGGAAACTCCTACAGTCCTAAAGAGTACAAACTACAGCACAGCACCGATGGCACGTTTTACCTGCTGCCGCGTAGCACAGCCAACAAGAAAAATTCACTGTCCGAGGATTTAGCTACTGCTGTATAACACACCTGAAGTACCATCAGCAGAACTCTTTGGTCTTTGTAACTTGACATAGCAGTGGCTTTGGATTCCAGTTGTTGTGGAGTCATTGGCCCTGTTTACGACAGGCATTTACATGCATCTCTTTTGACCACTTGTGAGCAGATTTTGTTAAGGGAGGTTGGTCAAAAGAGATTCATAAGAGCATGAAATCTGCTGTTTTCAGTCATGCAGTACAGATACGGATGCTTGAATCTCCAAAATGTTGGCAATGTTAAATTTAACTAAGCTAATTATTTCAAATTAGCAATGACAACTAAGGTATTATAAAATGTACATCTTTAGCTTGAATAATGAGGCTGGTCCAGCTGATGCATACTCGGTTCTGTTCAAAACTTGAGATCTGGAAGATGTTCAATATCTCTCATGCTCACCAAGAATGCAGTTATTAGATCAAAAATACAGTATGAACAGTAATATTGTGAAACAGTTTTCTATTTTAATATATTTTTAAATGTAATTTATTAGTGATGGCAAAAGTTTAATTTTCAGCATCATTACTCCAGATTCATCAGAAATCATTCCAATATGCCATTTGGTGCTCAGGAAACATGTCTTATTATTTTCCATGTTAAAAAGTGTTGTACATACATTTTTTTCATGATTCTTTGATGAATAGAAAGTTCAAAAGAACAGTATTTAGTTAAAATATATTTTTTGTAATAATATAAGTCTTTACTGTTACTTTCAGGCATTTTAATTCATCCTTGCTGGATAATCTCTAATTTCTCTTCAAACAACCTCAGTCATATAGTATGTACAGACCATATATAAAGATATATATGTGTAAACCTATATCACAAGTAATACTTCTACATGTGTAGAGCTTGGGCAGAGATTATTTAAAGCTACACTGTGTGATTTTTACCCCCATCTAGCGGTGAAAATGTATATGACCATCCAGTGAATATTAATTTCTGTTCCTCTCAATTCCGATTTCGTTTTAACTCCTACGGTGGCCAATGTAGTCCAAGATTAACATGGCTTCCAGTTCGACCTCGTCCATGAGTGTTAACTCAAACGTAAATGCGAAAGGCGAAGCTTGAATTAACGGGTATGTCCCTCTTTGGCTAATGTACTTTCTAGATGGAGGGGCAACATGGCGACCGACATTAGAATCCCTTACCCGTATGTATTTTCAATGGCATATTATACACTCACGAGAATACTTTATTACTTGAACGAAGTAAATATACATTAATGAGCACATATATTTTTGAAAGAACTAAGTGTTTTTAGCTACACAGAGTTACACAGTGTAGCTTTAATGACAACTCCAGAATTTTACAGATTATATGATGAGATTCTCCATTAACTGTTTATTCATGCTGTATGCAGTTGGAAAATGTAAGCTTTTTGGACGGCTGTCTAAGATACATATTCAGATGAAAATGTATCTTTTACTAAAGTTTTGATAGATATACTGTACATCTGAAACACAAATCTGCTTTTTGAGTACTTGTGTGTAAAGTAGATTTAGTATTCTAAAACTCTACACAAGATTCTCATGTAATTCCAATATATATTTAAATCAAATAAACGCTGTTTAAACGCTAAATACAATGACACAGGATCCATTTATGTATTCCCTAAAAAAAATGACAATTGGCAATGCTTTTAATTTTATGCAGCATTAATGTGCCCCCTGCTGGAGCAAAAACAACAGCAAAATTATGCTGTGAGTGTCATCTATATTAGAAAAACATTATTAACACAGAAACAAAGAAACGTCCAACTTAAAGTTTATTTACTTCGTAGGCACTTTCCATTAACACATCAGACAAAGGCATGACAGAGTGGAAAAAAGATTTACATCAACTAAATCATTATACACGAAACCTAGTTCTACTGTTGCGGCAGGCAAGTTCCCGTTATGGCATTACGAACAGGCAAAGGAGTAGTTCGGAAACGTGTTGGGAATACTTTAAATATTCACAAACCTTTATTTAATGCCCTTTTTCTCCCTCCTACTGATCTGTTTGATATTTTAAGTCTTTCACAAAGAATATCAAAGATGCCAATCATTTCAGACTGATCAAAGGAGTGAGAAATATTGGGCAAAGGGTGGTCCTCAGGGTAGTGAGCTTTTGGAATGGCGCGAGGACCCAAACTGGTCTTCTCGGTCGTGCTCCTTAAAATAAGTCTGTTCAATACGATGGCAAAAAGAAAGCAGGTTGGTGTAGGATTTAACCTTTTCAGCAAGCTCGTCGCTGGTCAGTTGTGTGGTGAGTATGGTGAAAAGATGACCAAACACCAGAGCGTCTAGTTCGGTTGGCCTGTGACGTTTAAAGGACAACAATTAGCAAAGACACCATGTAATAATTGAGTTATGCTGCATGTCTGTATGTGTACAAGGCTTCATTTATTACATTTCAAATTTTGCAGAAAGAGTAATGCTGTGGACATATTTATACAAATTAAAATAATATATCTTTAATATTAAAATAATGTTTTTTTTTAATGGTTATGTATTCTTGTTATGACAAAGCTCAATTACTCTAGTCTTCAGTGTCACATGGTCCTTCAGAAATCATTTTTTTATTTTTTAGCTGACGCTTTTATCCAAAGCGACTTACAATTGCAATATGCTGATTTGCTGCAGCAAATCAGCATATTACATGCTGCATTACATCATATTACATCAGACTTACAATTTTAATATGCTGATTTGCTGCTCATGAAATATTTCTTATTATTATTAATGTTGAAACCATAAAGTATTTTTTCAGTATTCTTTGATGAATGGTAAATTCAAACGAACAGCAGTTACTTGAAATAGAAATTTATTGCAACATTATATATGTTTTCCCTGCTACTTTTTACCAATTTCATGCATACTATCTGAATAATATGGTGTGATTATTGGGTCAGATTGAAAAGTCATAAACGAAAACTAAAAGTCTAGATTTGAAACAAAAGTCTAAGTCGAAAATGAATTTGGTATTTAGGATTGGTCATTTAGACATTTAGGATTGAGCATTTGAGGAGTGTACGCAAATAAAGAGGCGGGGCCCAAATACTGGAGGCTGGGTTTGAAATGGCCGGTGCGCAGAGGCACCTTATGGACAGAAGAGCGTCCCACCGAACGTGCTTTCTCGTCGTCAGACCGATAGCAATCCTTTCACTGGTGACCGTGTGTAAGGCCAGGCCACATACATGTTACAACGCTGTCATTAAGTTGAAGTTATCAAATTATAAAGAACAGTCCTCGCTCCAGCCCTGCTCACTCGCTCTGTTTGATTTCATTACAGTGTGCTACTTAGCATTGGGAGCGCCCTCTTCTGTCCATAAGGTGCCTCTGCGCACCAGCCATTTCAAACCTAGCCTCCAGTATTTGCATACAATGCTCAAATGCCTAATTCTAAATACCAAATTCCCGATCCTAAATCCCTAAATGCCCAATCCTAAATGGCTAAATGACCAAATGCCTAATCCTAAATACCAAATTCATTTTCGACTTGGACTTTTAGTTTATATTTAAGACTTTTAGTTTTCAATCTGACCCAGTAATCCCTCCATTGAAGAGTATTAATCTCTTTAAAAAAATAACAACTTTTAAACGATAGTGTATGTGCACAAAACGTACTGTTTGTTGAAAAAGTAGGGCTGTGTTCCTAATCGCTGTGACAAGGCCTGACAGCACTGACTCACATCTTCATACACCTGAGAAGAGAAAACACACACAAAGCATATTGTACTGTACATTGGCTCCATTTATGAAAAAAGTCAGTATAACAGGGACAATGAATTACACTTATTTATCTGCACACACACAAAAAAAATACCTGCTCCAGATTCTTTCCAGACCATCCAATTGCATTCATCTTCCTCCGAATCTCCCACTGCTTCTGATAGGCCAGAACGTGATTGAGGGGCCAAGAATAGGGACTACTGTATCGTGGCCTAGAAATCTGAACACATATTACCATTAAACACATACCATGATCATATATGCTGACATATGATGTCATCTTTGTTAAGATTTGCGTCATATATGATGTGTGGATGTCCTTTTATGTAAAACATACCTCTGTAGCAGTATAGTCATCACACCACTGGATATACAACTAGAAAGAAGAGGCAAAGTTTGCACAGTTTATTTCTTTTAAAAAATTCATGTAAAAGATAAAATACATATAAATTAAAAAAAAAAAAGTATAATTAAAGAAATCCATGAGCAAAGATACATAATGTGCTGAAAATTTTGTCCTTTTTAATAAATGTATCAATAATCAGATTTTTTGTATATGGCTAATAAATATCCTACCGTTCGAGAGTTTGGGTACAGTAAGATTTGAAGACTTTGAATTGAATATTATTGTAAAAATATTTTTTTTTTTAAATCTAATCGACCACAAACTGAACGGTAGTGTATGTATTACACAAAGACGCGCTGATGTGTGCAGGTCTGTACCTCTGCAGTCAGCAGCATGTTATTGACCAACTCCATGTAAGCCTTCATCTCTGCCCTCTGGACATCATCCAACCCGTCACTTAGAGCATGACCCTACGGACAGCTCAATGTCAGCCAACAGTCAAATATTATAGTATTCATTGGAGTTTGTTTTTTAGACTGAGAACGATACCTTTGCCTTTGTGAATTGAACAATCGGCCCCAATTCTGACACAACTTGATTTCCAACGTGGATAAAAGGAACCTTCCCTAATGAACAGAGAGGAAGAGTCATTAGCCTATATGAACTAACTCATAGATTAATTCTGACGAAAACAGAGCTCTATACCACTACCTTTCCAACATAAGATAAGAATAAACAAATCCCATAAACTAAACAAAAACATGAAAATGACTGTAAAATTGAGAGAATTTGGTTACTCACCTGACGGTGACATGTATTCAGCATTGGCACGGCAGGACACCTGCACTGGCAGGCCGCACATCCTCAGGAAAGTCTGCAAAACAAAATGAAATTCATAAACCTTAAACAAGTGACAAACTATTTGGGTTATTCAAAATGTAAATCGGCGAGTGTGTGAATGAACAGGGTGATTGTGGCACTACTTTTTACCTGAACTGCCAGCGAGGACGCAGAATCTGACAGAAGGATTTGATCCTCTGCACACACACAAAAAAAGGAAATCATATTCATTTCATTTATTTTATGGTTGTAAAAATCTCATGCTAAATGTAAATGTGAAAAAAGTTACCTTTAAGAGGTTGGTACAGAGTAGCATTTTCAGGCCATGGCTCAGCAGCTGCAAAAGAAAACCAATAACACTGGAAACATGCCTTTCGCAAACAATACTGTATCTTTCCATTATTCAGAAACTCTGACCCTTAAATATCCATCTATGTGAGACCACATTCCAATATTAAACATTTAATGGGTTTCTTTATCTTTGACCCTGACAATAGCATTGCAAACAACAGAACTCTAACTGTTGTAAAAACAACGGATAAATATATAACAGACTCGTGACCAGAAATTTAGTTTTTTCTCAACTAATATGGAGAGAAATTAAATGACTGTGATGAAAAGAAGTAATGTTACAGAATATCATCTTAACCCGCCCATCTTTAACACAAACCACTAGCACGCCTATGGTCTCGCTACATTGCACACAAGCGTAAACATCACCTGCAATCTGAGAGACGAAAGCCTCTGCAGCAAGAGACATGACAGCGCAGAAGAAATCTACTTTAATCGAAGCACAACAACGAGATGGTATTAATTTCCCACGCAAGGGCAAAGCAAGCTCCTGTCCCAGTGTAGTGACGTCACCCAAAAGTTTTTCCTGCTTTCTGGCCAATCACGGTCCTCCTCGTTCTTCTTCTTCTTCTTTTTGTTATATTGGCGGTTGACAAACCATCTTATGGTGCATTACCGTTCTCTACTGAACTGGCATGTGAAACGTCAAGCAAAAAACGTAATAATAATCATAACGAAAAAAAAAATCATGACAAATACAAATTTGTGATGGAAACCAATAAATATGTTCAAATCATGACCAATACAAATTTGTAATGGAAACCATTAAATATGTAGCCTATAAATCATGACCAATACATATTTGTAATGAAACCATTACAAATTAGAACCAATACAAACTGTAATGGCATTTGCAACCATTAAATATATCATTACCAATACAAATTTGTAATGGGAACCTATAAAAACCAATACATAATGGAATATGGCCAAAAACACACTACTGGACACCATTTTTTAATGGTTTCAATGGTTAACGGCTGATGGTTTGTAATGGTTTTGTAGTGGAAACCATTTCAATTTCTGTAATGATTTCTATTGTTTTTTGTGGGGGGTTTTTTCAGCAGGGCTGCAGAGGATTGGACCACACACATGCAGCAGAAGTAGCCTATACATTTTCTTGCTAAGTAGGTAGGCTTCAAATATGTAACACACTCTTTTTAGATCTTGGTCGAGGTGTGTAGCTTCAGCTTAACAATTCATTAGATAGGCCTACTCGAGAATAGAGCAAAAAAAAAGATGACCTATGATCCTCTGAACAATTTTATGTAGCCTATCTCTTTTCAGAATTCTACCTTGATCATGTCACAAATAAATGCATTGACAAAATAAAAAATACATTTTGAAAACATTATATTCTTATCATTTTCTGATTCTTTATTTATCAGAGCTATTCTAATTGTTTGTTGCTGACTCATTAAATCCTCTAATGGTTCATATGGTTTGCACCTTCTTCATTTTTTTTCAGTATTTGTCGCTCATTGTCAGGCTCCTCTGCAATGCAGACGGGCATGTTCAACATTCCGCAGTATCTGTAGCCTAATCCAGGATGATGATGATTCTTAACTTTGTTTAGATTTCCATTTGCGATATAGGCCTATATGGTCGATTCTTGAATCTTCTCGTCTTCTCAGCCGTCTCAATATTCCTACTTAGGTTTTATCCTCCACTTCCGATCGCGGAATATGTTGTGCTTTTTGCAACAGACCCTTAAAACATTTATTTTTATTTTATTTCGTTGTAACCATAATACAAAATCTTATAAGGCTCTGAAATTCTGAATATTTTATATTTATGTAGGCTATATGTGCAAATGTATTTTAATAGTGAAGGTGCAAGTGTCTGCAAGCGGTCATAAGGTGCCATTAGAACTGGGCGCGAGCCATAAATCTTTCCACTTCTGTGCGTGAGCTGCATCTATCAATTGTTCTTTCGTCATATTATACTGTTATACCACCAATGTTGATTATAATCCTTACTTACATCTCTATGTGAACAAGAATATAAGCATACATATCCTTTAAATATTAATAGGCTAAGAGAACTTGTAGCCTACAATTAAGGTCTAAAACAGACGCATTAACCTTTCTTTGTTGTTTTAAAATGTAAATATTCCATAGGCCTAATACTTATAAAAATAATATATAAATAAAATGATTTTAATATAAATAGATGAACAATAAACATTGATATTGAATTATAATATGTTTTTACATTATTCATTAACATGAAAGGACACATTTGGACACTCGCATTTTATTAGAGCTCTTTACAGATTTAATACATTTACAGATATTTTCAAGTCACATTTTTAGCTTATGCATGCATACATTTTATGGTGCTAATTCTCCAGGCTTGAGTAGATGTCGGAGCATCTCGCCCTGTTCTCCAAAAGAGAATAGAAACAATTCAATACACTAAACACTTGGTAATGTTATTATTCTTTAGGATTTTAAATCTTGGACAAAATCACGACAGTGGTATTTTAACAGCAATGAAAAAACAAAGACTTAAAGAACTGTTTGTTTTGCAATTTTAATAATAAAAAAAGAAACATCATTTTAACAGGTTCAGTCGGTTATGAGGGCTATTCAATAACTACAGTGTTTTATCTTGAAAGCAGACGTTTTTGCATCGTCCATATACTCCCCTAAAACCGAATCTGTGAATGTGCAGTGGAAACACACATTCGGTTCTACAGGGTATATATAGACGACGGAACAAAGCTTTGCGGAGAAATGGAATATCTGGAAATTGGGAGCAAATCGTTTTCCACAGTCCAGAAAACAAAATGAAAAGGCGTTGCCTACCTACATTAGCCTATAAGTAAAAGACTTTTAATTAAAATACAATTTTAAGGTTAAAAGAAAATTTTATCAATTGTTTGGCCACATTAAAATAAATAAAATATAACTTAAAAAAAGAAAATTGTGCTATTTTGAGGTAGATTTAGACTATTTTGTTTATTTCATAGTGACAATTTCAGACATTTTCTATTTTTGTATTTTCAAATCGAAATAAAATTGGTATCTTGTTTATAGTCAAATAATTGAACTGCAATTTGAGAAATCTGCCAGTAACCCCCCTCTCTTTCTCTCTCTCTCTCTCTCTCTCTCTCTCTCTCTCTCTCTCTCTCTCTCTCTCTCTCTCTCTCTCTCTCTTCTCGCCGCAATGCAGTAAGGTAGTAAATTAAGACGACCCCTCTCCCTTTCACATTTAAATGATTCCTTAACAAAGAAAACAGAACAATATAGCCTAATTCAGGTTTACACTAGAAAACAAAAGCATAACACATTTTTACTTGTCTGACTTCATCTCAAACTTCATAATTTCTTAATATTTTATATTTAAAATTTCTCACACTCGACAGACCAGACAAGGCAATACGAATTGTTCCCGTTAGCTTCACAGTTTGGCTACGCATTGATTAAGCGACTGATTATTCAGAAGAGTCATATCAAATTATTTTAAAAGGCAAAAATTATAAGTTTGATTTTGCAGCTGCACTTACCATTTGATGTTGAAACGACCTATTTAAAATATTCCCTGTAATAAATGGGCTACGTAAAATAGACGAAAAGCTATTTTAAATAGGCCTAAGAGCAAAAAAAACAAAAAAAAAATCAAGTCAAATATTCTGCACAAATGAAACACAATGAGAAATGAAGAGAGACGTCCTCGTCCGGAGCTTTTCTGTTCGACAAAGCGCGTGGGAAGGGAAGAGAGGGGTCAATATTACCGCGAGCCCGTGGCGCGTCTCATCTGTGAGACCCAATGACGGACGCGCGAGGCTCGTAAAAACCGTTTTACAACCTGAGCTGTAAATCAACTTTTGAGCTGGGAAGAGCTTAGAAACCGCAGATTTTCCACCCCACAGTGGCGTTGCCAGCGTTGCCATTTACATTCTACAAAAACGAACAAATTAAGGAAACCGAAAAACACGAAATAGGTCAAAATAAGAAGTCCGGTAAAATGCGCAGCATTATACTACCTACACTAGGTTCTTTATTGGCATAGATGGTTTCATGAAGAACACTGAACATCCATGGAAATTTATATTGTACAAAGGGTTCTTTAAAAGGATTTTTTTTCCTTAAGATTATAATGCCTACAATTTTCTTCGCACTTAGAAATTGTGAACTGTTCATTGAAAGGTTTTTTGGGGAACAAAAATAGATCTTCAATGGCATTCCTCCTTTTGAAGCCGATATATAGCCTATTTCTGCACATTATGGTCCAGTTCTTTGCGTGCTAATTGGGGAGACTTTAGTGTTTATAACCAAGTTTAGCCAAATTGGTCCGTACAGATATTTTCATGTTTTTCAGCTCTTTATAACATGGAACGTTTATGTCGATGTGTGTGTTTGTGGTGCGAGTTTAGAGAGAAATTATTAATATTTGTGCATGTATTAGAATAAGCACAATGTTAACATTATAGCCACAAACATTTAGCCTAACTTTAATATTGAAATTGTTACCTTGATGTGTGCGCGCCTGTAGCGTGTTGGAGACAGACAGTGCATCGCTCGGTAGAACAATTTTACTGTTTAAATAAATTTAAGCTAAATTTAATGTTACGAGTGATTTTATCAGTAGCCTAATAAAATCAGCATGAGTGTGGTGGTGCTATTTATGGCTAGACAGGCCATAAATATAAGTTTGAATTGAGATTCTTTTCGATATGCCTGGTTGAATATAAATTAAGCATCAAAATATCTCCTAAACGTCAAAATATCTCCTAAACGTCCATTTTCTCAAACGTAGACTACAGTGGCCTATTTTGCTGGGTTAAAAAATAATTGGCGAGCTAAACTATTCCTGGTCTTTATTTTTATTTTTTATTGTTGTTGTTGTTTTAGCGGCATTTTCTACCATAAAAGAAATAGCTAATTTATAATGCCTCACCTTAATATATTCAACAAGTGAAAGGTTGAAATAGATGCTTATCCTTCTAAAATATGCGCATACTTTTACATGGTATAAACGTATTCTCTTGTCAATACAATTGAGCACCCTCGATACCTATTTTTATATTTACTTACAACTGTATTTCCAAGTACCACCGTTCCTTAATTTCATAACCTTCATTCTTTCCATTGTTATTTTTAACAATAATTTTAATAACAATAATTATTTTTATACTGTAATTCGTAAAAACTTTCTTCTAACTAAATTAGACGTAGGAATGAGCCATGCAGTCAATGCATTTTTAATGCAAAATTAATTTTAAGCATCATGGTTAGATAGACTGGTTAGATGCGACATTTTGGTGCAAGCCTTGTACGCGACTTTTATTTTGAAGGATCAAATTACTTCCGAAAACCTCTAAAAACGTCACCGTCACACGCACAGGCTCAGCCTCCGTCCCATCTCTGTAGAAAGGCAAGTTAACGAGTGAACTCTTGCAAATGTTGTCTAATAATATGCTCCACCGAATATTAATTTAATGAAAATATGTTTAAATCACACTGCTTACGGTTTTCCTCTGAGCGAATTAGATTCAGGACAGTTTTAAGCTGGTGAAAAGGCAGGGTAGGTGGGTGTTTACTGCCTGTCAGTCCCTGTTGTTGTAATAACCGTTGCAATAATAAGAGTTGCAATGTTTTCTTATTTGTCAGGTGAATTTACTGGTATTCGTAGGGTTTGGCTTTCCAACTCATGTTGTTGATTAGATGACTGATCCCAATTCCAAGACAGGATTGTGTTTCTGAATAATAATGAATGTGCAAGTGATGTCTTCCAGACAGGTCCATTAGAGGCATTGAATGTGTTGTAAGCGTTATTAGAAGGGTTTTGAATGTGTTTTAAGCGTTATTAGATGTGTTTTGTTTGCTTTAAGGTCTGGATTTGCAGTTCCGACAATGGGAGCCATAATTTCACGGTGGAAGGTGTGTATTACACTATTTTTCCCATTTGCCCTAATCAAACCCTTTCTATAAACAATGTAATCGTTATGTTTTTACAGACTAAAACTTCCACTGTGGATATTCTAGAGTCACTGGATAAGGTATGTTCCCCACTGTTGTCCTGCCCTTTCAAACCCAGAGACTTCATTCAGCCATTGTGACCTTATCACACATCACAGGGCTTAATGTCATCATCTGAACCCTTTTACTGGCTGCATTTCCTTTCTTTACTCGTTCCTGGCTCTCCTCCCGAAACCTCCATCTGTCTGGAGACTGTATTGACAGGACCATCTGTTCACTGGATTGCTGCGGTTGACCTTAACTGCCCAGTAGTGGTCACTGCTTTAGTTTAGAGTGAGCTATAGGAATACACTTTGCAAAACCAGAGAGCTTTTATGTTTAATTTCACCCCAAACCTTCAACTGTAACTAACAGAGCTTATGTCCGGCATTCAGTAATCACACGGGTTCTGCTTTAGCTGGGTCAAATGTTTCACAGATTTATGTTCTGTTTAGGAATATTAATGGCATGATGGCACACTGTGGCAAATCAGTTATTCGTGCCAACATATCAGCAAACATTTAACTTCACTTGAATAAAATTGGGTAAATCCTCAAGCCTGATATATATATTTTTAAATGGAACAGTTTATTGTAAATTTATATAAAATATAAAATTAAATGTAAACAAATAGTTTATGTTTCGTATCATATTTGATACAAAAGGCATTAATGGCCCATATAGTCCTCAAGAAGGAAAAAACGCATTTCATTCAGAGGCCCAAACTGAGCAACAATATGCAATTTGGTGCAGTTGCTGATATTTATATGGCCTCAAAGTAAGATCAATGTGACTACTTCCATAAAACGCATATATTGTCTCTCTATGTCTACTAATAAAAAATGCTTACTTTTATGATCAAAGCTCTGTAGTTAAAAACATATAATGCATATACATTACCTTTATGTGGACATTTTAAACAAGTATGAACTATCAATCAGACAACAGAAGGCATGAAGAAGATTCTGTAAAACAGGTTCTTCAGCAAAGTTTTGATGATGATGATGATGATAAGAAAAGCATATCAAAAATGCTGCTCTAGGCTTTATAGGGTTAAATGAGATCATAAACGCATTCTATGTTACCTTACAAAGCATTTTTACAATATATAACATAATGGCATTGCAAATTAACTTACAATTTTGCATTATGACTTGAATCCATAGGACATAAATGACCTTGAGGAGTTCCGTACAAAGAACCAGCGCTTGCTGAAATTGTGGGTGGGCCGGCTTCTCTTCTACTCATCTGCTTTGTACCTCATCACATGTCTGTGTGTGTATTACCTGTACTTCCCTGAGCAGTGGAGCGCTCGCATCATCACTGCCCTGCCTCTGCTAGCATTTCCAGCACTGTGAGTCCTAACTATTATTGCTGGACAGACAATGATATATTGTATTAAACATGTTTATTGTATTACTATTTTTAGTGCAGCTGATGTAATTATGCATGCATTACTACTTATTACACGTGTTGTATGTTTTGCATTTTATTATACCTTTTGTTAAAGATTATTTAATGGAGGTCAATGTTTTGTTTTCTTGCATTATTTGACCTTTTCTGTTTCTTCATAGAGTGTTACTACTACGAAAACTGCTCATCTTCCTTTTCTCCAAACGCACAGAGAGAAACAGTATGCTTATTATATGTTCTTTTTTTCATATTTTCTTTCATTGTCTTCACCAACAATTTTGATGTAATTTGATCGATTGACTGACTGGTCTTTTGTTTTTATTTTCTGTTTCAGATGAAAAACTAGATGATTTAAAAACAAAGAAGCGGAAAATAGTAAGTGTGATTTCAGATACATTAGAAAAGATGCTTTCTCGGGAGCTAAGCTTGTTTGTGGATTCTAATATTTCAGATGCATAAAATTGTCTGTATGTTCCGTAAAACAAATGAATTCTGTTTTTGTCAGCTTGAGGAGGTGATGGAAACAGAGACCTACAAAAATGCTAAGCTCATATTGGAGAGATTCGACCCAGAATCTAAGAAGAAAGCAGTAAGTCCAGTCATGTGTAATATTTAAGGGATAGTTCACCCCCCCAAAAAATAATAATTTTACTCGCCCTCATGCCATCCTCGATAAATTTCTTTCTTCAGATAAGCACAAATAATCAATCTCTGTGAGTCCATATAATGCAAGTGAATGGTTGCCGCTTGGCTGAAGCTTGAAAAACCACAAACAACGATTGTGTAATCTATACAACCCCAGAAACAGTGAAACGATAGGTGTGTATAAGAAAAATATGCGTCACAACATCTTGTTTGTGAATGCTTGTAAGAAAGTAGACCAGTAGATGTATGATTTAAAGTATTTTTCTTACACACCTATCACCTCACTTACCATCATGATCGCTATGTGTGGTTTTTCGAACATTGACCAAGCTGCACTCTTTGAGTGGTATTAATGGACTCACAGAGATTAATTATTTTCCTAAAAATCTTCTGGATGGCATGAATTGATGAGAGAATTCAATTTTTTTCAGTGAACTATCCCTTTAAAGCTTGAATAGGGTTTCAAACAGATGTACGGAATAGTGATTTATGTTTGAAGCTAGCATATTTAAGATGAGTTGTGGTAGATGAATGCTTGGTTTGCGTTTACAGGAAGCAGAAGCCACTCCGGTCAGACCCCACATGACCACTAGACCAGGACAAGGTTTGTATTTCCTTTTGTTTTTTGACTGAGTGATTCTGTTTTCTGTATGCACAATGCACTTTATACTCTGATTATATTCAGACCTGCGGCAGCGGCATGTTGCCATGGCAACTCCTGGACCTGGTCCCATGACCCCAGGAGCCACACCACATCGTACTGCCCCAGGAGGACCTCCAGAGAAAGGGCTCGGTGGGTCTCCAGCAGAATCACCACAACAAATGATGAGAAGGAACATGAATCCTTATTCACCAGGACCTGGATCAGGTTTAGTAAACTCATATGTGTGTTGCTTACACGTCCGCACATGGATAAGTACATGAATTTTGTGAAATTCTGATAAAATAGCAGATAATATATCCTGTGACCAATGTTCCCTCTAATTTTTTTTGCCACCTGAGCAAAAATATTCTTTATACCTGACCTGTACAGCATACAAAGAAACACAATGGTTTCAACATTCAGTTGTAACTTAATTTGAATGTGCCATTTATATTTTATTTGACCCTTGATGTAACTTATTAGTATTAAATCATATTTTTGAAAAACAAGAAGCACATTTTAGGTTATCTGATTTTTTTTTACAGTGCTGTTAACCGTACAGTCATTACTAAGAAATCCTATGAAAAATAATTTACAAAATCTTCTGCAGGACAGTTTAATTCTTTACAATAAAAGAATATAGTAAGAAAGAGAAGTAAACTGTTACACGGAGATGGTTTGGGAAAACCATAAAGTGTTTTTGTACAGTTAATTAATTGTGTACAGGAGGCATTAAACCATCAAAGTTAAATGGTTGTTTATTGCTTATGAATTTCCAGTTTTTTCTTTAGTAGGTGGTTTTTAATGGCAATGAGCCCTAAACAACACCCTAGTGAGATTCTTTATTTAGGCTTATAATATAATAAAATATAGGCCTTATATAGCCTAAACAATACCTTTGTGATATTCTTTATTGAGGGGTATAATATAATAAAATATAGGCCTAATATGACCTAAACAATACCTTTGTGATATTCTTTATTTAGGGTTATAATATAATAAAATATAGGCCTAATATAAATAATATAAAAAAACGAATTAAAGTATTTGAAGTGATATAATATATCAGTTTAAATGATTAAATTTATTTACATATTATATTATTATTATTAAACAAACTGAAGCATTTAAATAGATCTAATGCTAAATATTTTCAAGAAAAGGGAATATGCGAACTCTTTAATAGTAATCTAACCATGCCTAAAACTCCCCCACTCAAAAAAACATAGATTTAAACTAATGATGTATTTTGAGTTTGCACGCGAGTGGGTGTGTAAGTGTTATCATTCTGTGTCCATCAACCGTTATTTCTACCACTTTAATCAAACCACTCTTCTTTAAAATTTTATGATGTGATTTTATTTCACATGTCTTTCGCCTCTCGTATTGAGCTATTTTGTCCGCACACACGGCTCACTGCCAATCACACGAGCTCACATCATTCTCTTTCTATGAAAGCTGTAAACTGCTTTCACCAGTTTTCACACTATAGCGGTTGACCAGAGCACTGAAATTATTTCTCACTTAAACTACAATCAAATGGATTTCCCAACACATTTCGCGTCGGTCCTCTGCGTGGCATGGTATTATTTTCTACGCGGCCGCGACTTCAGAATTGCAGCTCCGCAGCTTAGAGGAAACATTGCCTGTGACAATAAATCAATTTTATTTTAGAATAAATGGCTCATATCATGCATCCTTTTATTTGAATAATACCTTTTTTTTTGCACATTGGTGTCTTTTATCATAGAGTATAAATTATAAATGGCTGAGATTACAACACAGTACAGTTTTAACCAAAAAAGTTACCAAACAAAACAAATATAACAAAATCAATAATTGAAGAGTTCAGATGCAAAAGCCTCTAAGTGCCATTTGAAATTTTCTTCTAGAATGATCATTTTTATCAAGCTTGTATATTTCAGTTCAGTGATTTCACTTAAATGGCAATGATAATTACCTATTAATTGTTATTTAAGTCAAATTACTGAACTTAAATATACAAGTTTGATAAAAATCATCATTAAAGAAGAAAATTTCAAATGGCATTTAGAGGCTTTTGCATCTGAACTCTTCAATTTTAAATACTACAAATACATTAATTGCATCACAACATACCTGTACATAATGATAGAAAGGAAAAATGGATATTTGTTTTGAGATTTTATTAGAGTTTTATTAGAGTAAAGTCAATTATTTAAATTTAAATATTTAAATAAATACATATCTATTTAAATAAATATTTAAATTATGTATTGTTTAAATTATTAGAGTAAAGTCAGGGAAATGAGCATGCATAATTTAATTTTCACTATTGACCTATATTACCAAATACATTTTACAAACTGTAATATAGGCTGATAATCTACATATTGTACATCCATAGTTTTAGCCACAGACTGAACGTTATAGACTTTTCACTGCTTTGCCATATTTGATGGCATTTTTTATTATTTTGAAGTTCTGGCGAATCATTTTCCCGACTTGTGCACTGATGAAGTGTGGATTGTTCTTGATCATTTCAGGCATGCATCCCCCTGGGCCACCTCTCGCTCGACCCATTCTTCCACGAGAGCGTAGCTCTGTGGACAGAGTTATTGAGTACTTAGTGGGAGATGGACCTCAGAACAGGTATTGCACCTGAATAATATACAACCGGCTTGACTTTCAGGGTTAGAAACACACTGAATACTATACATGTGAGAATGATTTGTCTCTTGCCTCCCCCCCATTTATTCTTATACATTCAGATATGCATTGATTTGCCACCAGTGTTTTTCCCACAATGGTATGGCTTTGAAGGAGGAATTTGAGTATGTAGGTAAGAGCTTGTCAGAGCACATTATGGAACTGTGCAGATTTTTGCCTGAGGATACTCATGTCATGTGTGATGTTTAATGTTACAGCATTCCGTTGTGCTTATTGCTACTTCATGAACCCGGCAAGAAAGACACGCCCCCAGGCACCCAGACTCCCAGAGTTCAGTTTTGAGCGCAGACTTCGCTCTGAATCTCCTGAAACACAGTCTTCTGCCGCCACCGAGACACCAGAAGACAGTGACGTCCCTGAAGGTATTTTGCATTATGATGACCTCATAAAATCATTGTCATCTTGTCATGTCATTTTTCAGTCAGTCTTAAAACTGCAACTGGAAAGCCTCCAAGAGGAGAGCAAACAACTTTGGAAGTCCATGCAATCATTTACATTTATCATTTGTATGTTAGTGTATGTATGAATCTATGTTGTATTTTATTTTATTTGTGTTTTTAGACCATATTGTCTCGGCTCGCTCCTCTCGGGTTTCACACTCTGGCACCCCCTGGAGTAAAGTTCATAGTTTCAAGAGAATTCACTCAGGTCCCAGAACCTACGCACAGACTCACTTTACTTACACATACACTACCATTCAAAAGTTTGGGGTCGGTGTGATTTTTCTATTGTTTTTGAAAGTGTCTTATGCTCACAAGGACTGCATTTATTTGATTAGAAATACAGTAAAACAGAAATATTATTACAATTTAAAATAGCTGTTTTCTTTTAAATGTAATTTATCATGTAATGTAAACCATTGTTTTTTTATTAATAAAAAAAACTAAAAAAAGTTTATTTGATATAGATTTGTTTTGTAACATTTTAAATATCTTAACTTTCACTTTTGATCAATTTAATGTGTCCTTGCTGAATAAAAATATCAATTGAAGTAAAAAAAAAAAAATCTTACTTGCCCTAATCTTTTGACCAGTAGTGTATGCACTGCATGATGCTTTGGTGCTAAAGTATTCTCTGGTCTTTTCAGTTTCTATGGGTAACCTAATAATCATGATTGCAATCATTCCCTATTCCCTCTTATACTGTACACAAAATCACACAACGCAATAATGACTGTCACCATTACAAGGCAAGAAGGTGTGTTTGTAAATGGCTGTTAACCTTCAAATGGTCTTTGTTTCCGGTTTATACTTCTGGGCTTCGGGGTCTTTACGACCCAAACAATTGATTGAGTAATTGTACAAAAAATATACATTTTTAATCATACAAATAATATATACATTTTTTTGTTTACTTCTCATCTATTCATTAATGATGTGTTTTTGGAGATATAAAGTACTTTTGTGTCCATATACCACACAATTCCTCAACTACACCATTAGCTTAAGCATTAGCATATGAAATTTTTTTTTTTATGATCCATTGCATTTATGCTCTAGTACTAGGCCTCCATTTCTGTGTAAAAATGTTCAGATTTATGCCGATTTTTTTTTTTGACGCATGAAGAAAATATATTTAGTTTTTTTCACATTTCCCATTCATTTCAGCTATTTTTGCTCTGTTTTCAAATAGATGTTTTTATTTTTGTATGAGTTTTGTCTAAATGAAGAGTTCAGATGCAAAAGCCTCTAAATGCCATTTGAAATTTTCTTCTTTAATGAAGGTTTTTTTTATCAAACTTGTATATTTAAGTTCAGTAATTTCACTTAAATAACAATTAATAGGTAATTATCATTGCCATTTAAGTGAAATCACTGAACTTAAATATACAAGCTTGATAAAAATGATCATTCTAGAAGAAAATTTCAAATGGCTCTTAGAGGCTTTTGCATCTGAACTCTTCAAATATATATTTATAAAACGGTTAGTTCCAATCCTTGATTGGTCAATATCTGTGCTTAATTAGTTTTAAAACACTGCTATGACCTCTTCACCCAACGATTCTATTTATCACTGCGCAACACTGCGGTTTCTATGTTGTTTTTATTTGAGCTTTTTATGCATTTTACACATTGGAACATTGTTGCTGTTCACGGTCGGGGACTATTTTTTGCTAGCGGAAGGAAGGCTTTTAGTGATTTTAATTCACGAAAGCCGATACTTCACGAAAGTTTCACTAATACATTTTTTTTTACTTTAATATTTTTATTGTGTGTTAACTTGTGGTTTTATTTAGATGCAAGCACTCCGCTTTGCATCGTGCCTAACAATGCCCTTCAGCCGTTACTTTTTCACGATACAGCACAGCCTCTCATACCTTATTGCTTACTTATATACAAATAGAAATAGCAATCAAAAAGATGATTTTTTCTTTTTGTAGAGCAACAGTTATGCAATCTTAATATTAAATTTAATAGCAAGATGGTAAGATGCTTAGAGACTGAATGTCTAAAATGCTGATACTTTTCTAAAAAACAACATTTTTTTTGTGTGATTTAATAATTAGCTTATTTACAGTTTTGATTTTGAATGCATATTGTGCTTCTTTTAAACATGTATTGTCATACTGAATGAACAATGCTACAAATTATATTCTTATTTTATGATGCATTAACATACCTAATACGCATACTTTCTTACACACCCACAACAGTGCCATGGCTCTTACTCATCCCCAGTGCCAAGTATTTCATTATTTCATTTTTACAGATGACGTGGAAAGAACTACATCTGCTGATCCTCAGGATCCCACCGCTGAAGGTCCCCCTGTCGAACATGAAACCGAGGCAGAGGTGTCACAGCCTCGACGTAGCCCGTCCCCCTCAAAGGATGTCCCACAGGAGGAAGCTGTAGCTCAGGGGGAACAGCAGAAAGAGGATGAATCAAACTAAACTGTTTGAATGCAGTTTAAACATGTTTATGATCAACACAGTTCACAAGAGCTTTTGGTTTTTGGCATGTTTTGTTTTAACTTCTCTCTACAGCATGTACATCTTAGTAATTCTGAAGGCTGTTCAAGAGTTTTTACTGCTGATTTATTTATATGCACCACATCATTCACATGTAGTGGGCTAATCACATTACAATTTGTAATACAAATGGTGTGGTGCGGCCCATAGTGGTGATGTCTCCCGGTGCAATTCCTGTGCATGGTTTGTTTATGAGGTTGACATATGTTAGCAGAGTAACTTAGGCAGACAAAACAAACTGCAGTTGCTAAAGTGTTGAAGCCTAGAATAATTTTACAGTGTTAACATTTAATATTGCACAGTATAAATAAGGACAAAATTGGGTAGCGAGAAATGTTTAGCTATCATTGTGTTTACAGAATTATTTGAAACCTGCAAAATTAGAGCTGAACAAAAATACACTCTTTATCAAAAGCACTGGTCTTCTAGAGAAGTGATGCTTTTTACTTTTTTGGTTGCTAAATGCACTATTTTGATTGTTAAATATTTATTTCTTTTGTTTTGAGTTGTTGTAATTGCTTGTGTTTTTCTGGCCAATGGTTTGTTTACCTATTTGTGAATAATTCAACTGTTTTGTGCCTTTCTGGTTAAGAATATGTGAATTACTGCACAGTTTACAAGATAGCAAAATCTGTAATTGGTGTCCATACATAGGATGTTATCTGCATTGATGTTTATGCTTTACAAGTCAAATGATGCCAGATGTGACACTAAAATATTTTCATGAATAACAATTTGGGTGAGAATGATAGTTTGGTAGTTAGAGGAACTTTTGTTCCTCTAAATTCTACTTCGTTGTCATGTTCATGATGAATTGATTCTTATCTCAACAGCAACACATATGTATGTGCTGTATGTGGAATTATCAGTTTATCAATACTTGCACATGTCTGCTGCTTTTACAGTCTGTACATGCCAATAAATGTTTCTTATCTAAAGCGTGATTCTTTAAACGTTATCATGAAATTGAGGTTTTTCTCTAGAAAGCAAATTGGAGTCTACCAAATTAATGTTTTAGAAATGAAAAGGCACATTTGGGAAGGCTAAGTGACATGAATAGATTCAGTTTATTAAACAACAGTTCCTTCAATATGTGCCCTTAGCAACAGAATATGACAACCCCATAAAACAAGATATATTTTGTCATAAAATATTTGTAGAAAACTAGACTTTTTCTCATGATCCTAGTCATCTTTTGAATAATTTTCTTGTGTATCCTAAGTAGCCTATTAGCAAGAATGAGAATAATGAACAGTACTGAGTGTTGTTATTAGCTTAATTGTTTATATGCCTGTGTGTGTGTGCTATATCAATTTACTTTCACATTATTTGAATACACTCCTCTAGCTCACTCATTTCTCTTTTACATATTGTTACTGTCTGTTAGAAGAGTAAAAGGGCAGTAAATAAGAGTTTAATGTTTTCTTTGCCCTCAGTGCAGTTTTAAATAAAGCACCATTAAATGACCTTCAAACGCGTCATTCAAGCATCCGGGTGCTTCATTAAATAGAGGGTCGGGCATGCGCAGTAGTTCCTCAGCGGTTCGACCTCTGCTGCCGGGTAAGTGAAGGAGAGCTAAATGGGAACCGGCGAAGCTAAATTGTCACAATCGTATACCATCATCGCTCTTTAGATGTATTTTTTCAAATAATTTGATCTATTTCACGTTCTACTGAATATACTACCCTTGCAAAAGCAGCTATTTTGTGCCTGGTAGCTTTTTGAAAGCGCCGATATTGCATTGACCTTAAACTGTTGTCTTTTCCCATAGAGACAGACGCGGGTTTATTCTTCACCACAGTCAGCGAGCTCAATCAAACATGTACGCCTGTGCAAAGTTCGTGTCCACACCCGCACTGGTGAGTATTTATGATGTTTTTTTGAAGCTGCAATACAATGGATACGTTCAGAGAATTATGCGAGAGGCCTGGTGCACTTAACTCTGTCCGTTTGACATGCGTTATTTGCATCTAAATAAAACTGTCTATCTGCAAAATTCGTGTTTCTGTATGTCATTGTGGCTAATATGTCAATGGGCAGATGATAGTTGTTGTGTTGCTAATGCTATCATCTGAACTGCGATTCCTGCGAAGTCAAGGTCATAATAACAATCTGACCGTATGTCTGTCCATGTTTCACATTTCGGTTGTCCTCGTTTAAATGTATTGCCTTAGAGCTAAAGGGTAAAAATGGTAGGTATGGTTGATTTTAATCAAGGCTGCAATGGTTATGTCCTGGTTTGTTGCTTCCATTTTGTACTGGACTTGCCACATCTTTTTTTTTCCTTTTAAAATATAAATGTAAGTTAAGTTAGTGTTTTGTTCAATTGACATTTGCCACTCACAATCCAAGTGTCATGTATAATTTCTAATTATTGCACACTTTAATTGTACTTTCCTCGACATGGTCCCTCCCACTCCATTCAAGTGCTGAAGCAACAGTCCTGTGTGTGTCAGTCTGAAGTACAGCACTCCTAATGAATGTAATCTTATGTCTTGCGTGCTAATGCCTTTTCTGATCCGTGTCTCAGGTCCGCTCTGGTTCAAGGGCGCTGTACAGACCACTCTCTGCCTCTGTGCTCTCCAGGCCAGATGTCAGCTCTGCAGAGGTGAGCGCTTTATGTATTTGGAGATGTTTAACATCAGTGGCACTTCCTGTTCCAAGTGTTCTTTTGAACCCAAGAATGAAATATGCATTTTCTTTAACCCTCTGATGATCCTCGGTCACTTCTAACTGAATAATTTTCTGTTTTGAATTATTAAAAATCACAGCTTCATTGGAAGGCTATGATACTTGGTGACTTTTTTTGGCATTTGGTATATGAATACAAAATAAAAATTGAGGTCATGATCCAAGCATGCTAAGTGGTCGTAAAAAAAATAGTCACACTCATGGTCTTCAGTCAGAAATGACCGACCCATAGGAAATGAATGGGAAATTTACAAAAAAACAATAATCCTCTGAATGTTTGTTTGTACAATCTACAAATCGACCACGATTCTTAAAAGAAGTATACCGCAGTAAAGGGGTGACACTCTACATCAACTCTACGCACACATACAAATACACTTTTATACATACCAATAAATTAAGACTACAAAAAAATCTGTTTTGAATTTTTAAAAATCACAGCTTCATCGGAATGTTACAAAACTTGGTGACATTTCTGGCATTAGGTATGTGAACACACAAAAAAATTGAGTTCATGATCCGAGCATGCTAAGTGGTCGTAAAAAAATTAGTCACGATTTTGGTCTTTGGTCAAAAATGACCCCCATAGGAAAGGAATGGGATATTGACAAACACAAAAATTCACTTATTTATTTATTTACAATTTTTTTTAATAAGAAATAGTTTTTGAGATTGTTTCAATTATATATTCAAATCAACTAAAAAAAAAATGTGTTCATAAACTGGGGAATTCACATGCTTCTCTATAGAGAGCTGTACATGCCATCTAGTGGTTACACCATGATTCTATGGTTTTTTTAGAAGGCCTAGTCTATATTAAACAAAAATACTGCATTAATATATATATTTTTAATTTTATATATATATATATATATATATATATTTCCATTGACAAAATAGACCATGAATATTGCATAAATATTAATAAATTCAATCAAATTGTCTCAAAATACTAAATTAAAAAGAATAAATATAATAGAACAAAAATAAATTGCATTGATTTTACTGGGATGGAAGAAGTTTCATTTTTAGGCCTCCGGTCACTTCTGACCGGGAAGGCCCAGGATGTGACTCATAAAGGAAGACCATCAGAGGGTTAAAGCTGTTTTAAAAGAAATGCTATTCTTGTTTTCCCCATGCAAGGATTTCAAATGGCACTTTAAGATGCATTCCTTCCTATGTAAACTTGCTTGCATTATTAAACTGTTGCATAATGTCATTTTAATTTGATTTATTGTGCCTTATTTTAAAGGCCAGCCCAGCCTTCCTGCCACAGACTGCCGTTTCCCAGGTTGCAGTCCGGGGTTTTCAGACAAGCGCCATAAGCCGTGACATCGACACAGCCGCCAAGTTCATTGGTGCTGGTGCCGCCACTGTGGGAGTGGCAGGTTCAGGAGCTGGAATCGGAACAGTGTTCGGCAGTCTCATTATTGGATATGCCAGGTAGAGCAGACCAACGCAAACCACTGAAATTACCCCTAATGCTTACCCTCTTTTTGCCATCAGCTGCCATATCAGAAACCGAATGACTGCTTCTGGATATGGCAGTACTGATGGTGGTCCAATGTAAACCAAATTTGGCATTTCCAAAATATTTATTTCATAGTTACATTTTCAGTTATATTGTAAAATTTAATTAAGATCTGAGCTTGACTATTGCAGCCATGCAAGTGTAAAATGAGTTTGAGCAAACTCATCTGTCATGGATCTCACTCTTGGGAGCTGATGTCTTTTGTCCATGACCTAAAGCCAACTTCATTACAGAGATCTGGTGTGTGTGACCCATGACCTCTCCTTCTCTCCAACAGGAACCCATCTCTGAAGCAGCAGTTGTTCTCATATGCTATCTTGGGATTTGCCCTGTCTGAGGCTATGGGTCTCTTCTGTTTGATGGTGGCTTTCCTCATTCTGTTTGCCATGTAAATACTGCTCCGTCCACCTCTTCCCACAGCTGTGACGACGTGTTTTACACTGGCTACCAAAAGAGTCCTGTGTTGGTGTCATAAAATTGTACATTTTCCAAGTTTTGTTGAAGGCTGAGAAGATAAAACATGTATTGTAAAAATGTATCCAAATACAGAATAAATACATGTATTTCACTATTTAAAATATTGGAATGCCCTTTTTTTTGTGTGTGTGTTTGAATCCAGCATCAATGAAGATGCATGTCCTTTGCAGATTTCAAGCTATTTGGGGAGTGTTTTATAAGGGGTTACTTTGATTTTTCAATAATTCACGTCAACCATTTTTAGTGCCCTAATTTGTTACAGAATGGCTCAGAACTTGCACATTATTTGGTTTCCCAGAAATCCAAATGATGATCCTTAAGTCTATTTAGTATATTTTTGTGTCTTGTGCTTTTATGATGTACCAATATTGAACATTATTGTGCAATGATTAGGTGTCTGAATATAGAGTCAATGCACAGAAATCTACAAAAGCATCATTAAATGTTGCTTCACATTTTCCACAGTAATGTATCTTTAATCAGTTTCAAGTTTATTTATATTGCCCATTTCATACACTATGGTAATTTAAAGTGCTTTACATAAAAGATTAACTGAAATGGTTACATTAAGACGTTTGATAGTTGTAAAGCGTAGTGCTTTAAGTTGAACCCAAGCACGCACGTGCAACAATGTTTGTCTCGCGCTGACTCTTGACAGCTGCCAGCGCGCGCCTCATGTGCAACTCGCACACGCAGAGCTGAGCTGCAGTCAGGACACACAGACAACTGTAGCTGTGCTCTTATAGACTATTTCCTTCAGACGACTAACTTACACAGACTTTCTCATAACAAGGAGATGAATAACTATATTCTGATTTTGCAATTTTTGCCTCTTCTATTTGGTGAGTAACCACTTTTTTTAAGATTCTCGTGGGGACCTGCCCTTTTAAAAATACAACAAAGTATTTAAAATGGCCACAAGTTGTAATACATTGATAAAGTCTTTCGTTTAGCTCTATGCTATTATGGAGAAGAATAGGCTACTTGGTAATAACCTATGAGGACTACGAAAGTGGGTAATCGTTTTGCTATTTTACCCAAGCTTTTGTTGGAAACCGATACAGGTTCATTTCCATAGCGATACGTTATGTTAAAATGATTTCGTTTTTAACCGCTTCTAAAAGTTGTCTATGCTTCTTTGTATGGTATGCATACAATGCGTCCCGTTTGATTGACAGGTGCAAGTGTGCGGCCTGCCGGCGTCATTCAAGTGGTTTGTGGGTGATATGAGATCAGTGTGTCAGAGGGCAATTTTGTGCTATTTGCTTACAAATATTATCATATCTCTTCTCTCTTCCTCTGTACATTTTCATTTTATATTATGGTCAATCTCTTAGCTGCAGGCTGAAGTAAGGCTCTGCTCATCAGGACGAAGTGATACTGGCCTAAACTAACTCTTAAACCAGAAAAGCTCCTGATGGGTGTCTCTGAAATACTGTAATTGTACATGTTGACCCAAACGTTCACTTATTTTAAATGGTCACATTTTCTAATTTAATTATATGGAAATATTGGAATTTTTTGACTTCATTATTCCTCCCAAAAATGGCTCAGAGATGTAGAAGAAACAAAACCTCATAATTTCAACAAAACATCATAATTTCAAAAAAAACAGTGAAACCCAATTATCTGAATAAATTGTTTATTTGCCTGAATAATTTCTGAATTACTTCAGTTAGTTCTGGTTATAAAAGAATAGCCACCATACTCAGACAACAGTGTGTCCTAATGTCAGTGTGTGTCCTTGTGTGGATGGGTAGCCTGGTAAACCCTATGGGGACAAAATGTCCCCACAAAAATGGCAATATCTGAAATCCTTGTCCTTGTGTGAACATTTTTTGGTCTGCATGAGGAAAACGGCTTAGCCTATACTAAATTATTCTTTTTGAAACCGTAAAAATGCAGAAAGTTTTCTGTGATGGGTAGGGTAAGGATTAGGGGACAGAATATACAGTTTGCAAAAATCATAATGTCTATTGAGTCCCCATAAAACATGAAAACACAAGGTGTGTGTGTATGTCATATGCAGTTGCTTGAGTCCTTCAAATTTAATCCTGTGTGCTGTTTAGGATGGGTATGGGTGTCTGTGTGTGTGTTTGTTTGTGAGTAAGAAGAGTAGGGTGATAACTTATTCTCATAGAGCTTCGAAGTAGTGTGTGTGCTTGTGTTGCAGGACCAGCACTGTGCTCGGAAGATGAGACAAGATTAGTAAAGACTCTGTTTACCGGATATAACAAGGTTGTTCGTCCTGTCAGCCATTTTAAGGATCCAGTTGTGGTTACTGTTGGACTACAACTCATTCAGCTTATCAGCGTGGTAAATTATATTTCTTGTATTATGATTAAAAGTTGATTAAAAGTTTACATTGCACAACCCTATACTATTTCTCTCCTCTTACCCCTCCATACCTGCCCTTATATTTTACAGGATGAAGTTAATCAGATTGTCTCCAGTAATGTACGGCTAAAGCAGGTGTGGGTTTGAGCTGCTGTTGCAGTTCCTGTGTGCTGCTATCAAAGTAGATATCAAAATGCATACATTCTGTCCTATTACATTTAATGTGTCAAATACTTGGTTCTCTTGAAACTTTTAAAAAAATGCCCAGGTGACATTTCAACTTCAAATTAGAAATCATATTTTACATGAAGAAAACCCTGTTATTTTTATGTTAAAACCACTAAATCTCTTTAGGAGTGATCTCTTTACGTCGCTGGTATTGTCGTTCTAATTACATTTTACAGCGATTTTTATTTTTAAACTAAGTTAAGTTTGAAAGAATAAAAGGCAGTACAACATATGCTGCCTTCCATAAAATTACCCTAAGATCAAAATACACAATTCTTTTTTTAATGGAATATTGCAGTGTTTATTATCAATTATTTATCTATGCACACCATTATTTCTTTAAGAAAAATCATGTTCCCTCATGATCTTTAAAGAAGATATAGCATAATCCCTTCTGTTTCATGCTGACTTTTAAAATGACATAACCCATGTGGATACCCAGGAGTCAATACACATGTATCAATCTTTTTTCTCCTTTTCTCATGTTCAGCAATGGAAGGATGTGAATCTGCAGTGGAATCCTGATGACTACGGTGGCATCAGGAAGATCAGAATCCCTTCCACTGACATCTGGAAACCCGATTTAGTGCTTTATAACAAGTATGAGTCACTTTGTCATTTTGTCATTTGTCAATCAGATAAATAAATTAATTGAAATGTGCATACCTGGTCTGATATATTTCTTTATTTGTGTATGTGCAGTGCTGATGGAGACTTTGCCATCGTCCATGAGACAAAGGTCATGTTGGAGCACACGGGTATGATAACATGGACTCCACCAGCAATCTTTAAAAGCTACTGTGAGATTGTGGTCCTTCACTTTCCCTTCGACCTGCAGAACTGCAGCATGAAACTTGGAACGTGGACCTATGATGGCAACCTTGTCATTATCAACCCAGTAACTATAACACACACATGATCACCAATCATGCCCATCAGGATGTAGCATCCATCTTGTTTTTTAATGCAAGTGCATGTAACTTAAAGGGATAGTTCACCCAAAAATGAAAATTCTGTCAGTATTTACTCACCCTCATGTTGTTCCAACTCCATAAGACCTTCGTTCATCTTCGGAACACGAATTAAGATATTTTTGATGAAATCTGAGAGCTGGATCACTCCTCCATACTAGTCCATAGGCTTCTTGAGGGATTGAAACTTGCCAGCCTCGAAAAGTTATTAAAGACATCGTTAAAATAGTCCAAGTGACTACAGTGGCTCAATTTAAGTTTATCAAGCGACGAGAATACTTTTTGTGTGCAAGAAAAACAAACAAAAATAATGACTTTATTTCAACTATTCATTTCCTTCTCTCTGAGCCTCGAGTCAGACAGAATTTTCATTTTTGGATGAACTATCCCTTTAAATGTGTAAGGCCTCTGGTGACATTCACTTCCAGTTGTTTTACTGGTACAAAAACAGTCTGTCATACTGCTTGCAAACTTATTTGTTATAATATAATTTAAATTGATTATCATATTCATAAACACACTGGCTTGTATTGCAAATTGCTTTACTGTGCACTTTGTTAGTCTTCTAGTTAGTGGCTAATCAATAGGAAGTCTTGCACATTCACAGAAAATAGCTCGCTCCCGCACTGCAAAATAAGCTGCATAAATGAAATGACTGTACATTGCTTATTGTATGAACCAGGATATTAATGCACCTTTTTGTGTATATGTAAGGACAGCGACAGACCAGACCTCAGTAATTTCATGGAGAGCGGGGAGTGGGTGATGAAGGATTACAGGAACTGGAAACATTGGGTGTATTATTCTTGCTGTCCAGATACACCCTACCTCGACATCACTTATCACTTCCTCCTGCTCCGCCTCCCGCTCTACTTCATCGTGAACGTCATCATCCCCTGCATGCTGTTCTCCTTCCTCACTGGGCTTGTGTTCTACCTGCCCACAGACTCTGGTAACCCACTGTGTGTTTTTGTGAGTGTACACTCTTAGAAAAAAGGGGGTTCTATATATGAAGCATACACTCTTGGGTGTAGGGTTCTTTACTCAACTCCAAAGAACCTATTATGCTAAAAAAAAAAAGGTTCTATAATGACAAGAAAGAACCCTTTTGGCACAAAGGTTCTTTATAGGCTATTATTCATTCATATATTAATTATTCTGCAACATTTTGGAGTTGTAATTAAATTATTGTTTATTAAACTGTTTTAGTAACTTAATATCACATTTTAATCATGATGATTTTTAGAGGAGAAAAACTGAAATGGCACTCTTCGTGTGATATTGAACTACATAAATTGATGATAAACCCTTTTTGTGATCATTCACATGCATTCATAAATACATTTTAGGGTCTTTCTTGATGTTTGTCAATAATATGAAATATTTAATCCGGAAAGGACAAAACAAATGATAATGAATGAACCCAGAAGGTTGTATATAGAACCTTTTTCCTGGTTCCAAAGAACCTTAAAGGGTTCTTATTATTGAACCCTTAAAAAGGGTTCTGTTTAGAACCTTTTAGGGGTTCCAAATACATAGCGCTGATAGAACCTTTTAAGGTTCTATATAGACCATTTCACAAGATGTAAACAACACTGGTCCAGAAGCACTTCCTGTTTCAGTTTTTTAACACTACATAAAAGCTGGGATAAAATACAACCAACAGAACATGTAAAAATGAATCAAAAAGTTAAAAAAACAATCTTTAAGATGTTTTCTTTACATGTGAAATAAAGAAAACAGTTACAAACTGAAACAGGAAGTGTTTCTGGACCAGTGTTGTTTACATCTTGTGAAATGGTCTATAGAACCTTTTCTTCTGTACAATGTGTGCTGGAGTGTGTGGTATGACCAAAATCTTATATCATGGTTTATTTTCAATTCATTATATCATATTAACTTTAATTATTTTTGCTGGAAATATATTTAAATATATAAATAACCAATATCAAAAAATAACCTACTTTTTGAATAACCCCATGAATTAAGGAGGTCATACTATGTCCTTTTAGAATAGGTTTTCATGGTTAATAGTTCAAAATACTTTATTTTTCACATAGTTTACATTAATGCAGCACCTCTTTTCCCAGTCTGTCAGTAACACTCTGGGGTGTGTTTCCCGAAAGGATCGTTAGCCAACTATGGTCGCAAGTTCCGTCGTTTTCCAGTAGAGTTCAATGGAAATTGCGACCATAGTTGGCTAACGATGCTTTCGGGAAACGCACCCCTGGTTAGTTCGTGTCTCTTTGAAGCCCCTCCTTCTGAAAAGTGCAATGTGCTCTGATTGGTCGCCTGGACAAGTGTGTTGTGATTGGTCAACCACTTCGAGCGTGTTTTCGGAAATGTCACGCCCCTTACCATAATCGCTTTTTTCCACACACTACACAACTCAACTCAACTAGACCGCACCCCTTTTTTCGAGTATGCCTTGGCCGGGAATTATTTAAATATTGTGACGTGTACGTTCCCTGAAGAAAACGCAAACAATCAAGGCATTTCAGGGAGTTCAAAAACATGGCACACTGAAATAGAGAATAACTCCCGTTGGAGTGGAATTTCTGTTGTTACTTTGCAGACCTTTTTTGTGCTCAAACTGCAACATCACACATTAAAGAAAGTTGAAAATTTAAAAAACATTTCTAGTCCTTGTTAAGTATATTACAGGTACTTAGAGCTTGATGGACATTTTGAACTTCACTAGTTTTTGTCTTGTGTTGTGTGCAGGAGAGAAGATGACCCTCAGCATCTCTGTCCTGCTTTCTCTGACTGTGTTTTTGCTGGTGATTGTTGAGTTGATCCCCTCCACGTCCAGCGCCGTTCCACTCATCGGCAAATACATGCTCTTCACCATGATCTTTGTCATTGCTTCTATCATCATCACTGTGATTGTCATCAACACACACCACCGCTCCCCCAGCACACACACCATGCCTGCCTGGGTCCGCAAGGTACGTATGTCAAAATAACGCCAATATCATACTCTACAGTTGGTTTTGGGGTAAATTAAAAGCGATTTGCCGTGACATCACAACCATGGTGCATTGTGGTCTATGGATCTGCCTGAAGTGTATATGTTGGGTAGACTCGCTCTCTCTTTCAAAATCGAGGATTCAAGAGTCATATAAACTTCCCTCGTCAACTTGACGAAGTTGAACATGCTTCAGAATGGTGGTGGGGATTCCCTCGAGGGGAAGTGCGAGTGTATGTCTAAAGGTGGAGTTAAAGGGATAGTTCACTTTGAAATTAATTTTTGATATGTTTTAGCTTACCTCAAGGACACCCAAGATGTAGGTGTTTTTGTTTCCACAGTATATTCAATTTTTTAGGTCAAACCGTTCTTGTCTGTCAGTCATATAATGCAGGTATATGGGGTCCATATACATGCACAGAGAAGTCCAGATCAAACATGATTTAATGACTCGTAAATGTAAGAACACATTGATGGACTAACACACGAAATGAGCCAACCCGATCTCACGACCAAGTCGTACGAATTTGACGAATGATTTAAAAGGGGCTAATTCGTACGAATTCATACGACCTCACTCGTACGAATTAGTATGATTTTGCTAAATCAAACATATTTTACGAATTGGCCAATTCGTATGAATTCGTACGAATGACCTACCCCTTACCCCGCCCCTAAACCTACTCATCACGTGGGTTTAGACAAATGAGGTTGTACGAATTAGTACAAATTAGACACTTTTTAATAATTCGTCGAATTCGTACGAATTGGTCGTGAGATAGGGTAGAAGGAGCGGTTTGTGTGAGAAAACGAACAGTATTTATATCGTTTTTACCTTTTTTTAACCACAGCCACAAAGCACCCACGCCCTCAGATCACTTGCACATGGCTATGGTAACAAGAGGTAAAAACGATATAAATACTGTTCATTTTCTCACACAAACTGCTCGTTTCGTGTCTTAGGCCATCAATGTGTACTTACATTTACGAGTCATTAAATCATGTTTAATCTGGACATGCTCTTTTAGGTGAACCCCATAGGTCTCCATTATATGACTGACAGACAAGAACGGTTTGACCGAAAAATGTCAAAATTGAAAATACTGTGGAAACAAAGACACCTACATCTTGGATGCCCTTGAGGTAAGCTAAAACATATCAAAAATTAATTTCAAAGTGAACTATCCCTTTAAACGCAGACTAGTGAGACGCCTAGTGAGACCTTGATTTGCTGGTTGAGGTGTTAAATTGTGGTTGGAGCTAAACTTTGCAAGACAGTGTCCCTCCAGGACTGAGGACACCCCTGATCTAGTATACAGTAAACTTAATTTCACATGTATTATAGTTCACAGAATAGTTGGAAAAGAAAGGAAAACTTTGATGCAAACTAATTGTGAACTCAAAACTGTTACACTTAAAGTACACTTAACTTGTTTAGTGTCTTAATCTAAAATATGGGCCAATTAAGTCCCAAAATGTATTGAAATAGTACATTTACTGTACAAGTATACTTCTAGTACATTGATTTTAGTATACCTGTTACATAAGTATACTTTTTTTTTTTTTTTTTTTACTATTTACTTAGTATATCTTAATGAACAAAGGTAGGCCTACCTTTTTGGAAGTGGACTCTCAACCAGAGGCATGCTTATTTTTGCAGTCCCATTTGGTGCTGCTACTGAAGGACAATTTTTACTTGTTTCTAAACTTTACATATATTTGTGGGAATCTTTGCCTACTTTGAGCTATAAATAACCCTATTCTGATCAGGGATGCCTCTGTTTTACAGATCTTCATAGACACCATTCCAAACCTGATGTTTTTCTCCACCATGAAACGACCATCCCAGGAACGACAGGACAAGCATATCTTTCCTGCCGATTTTGACATCTCTGACATCTCAGGGAAACCCATGCCAGCCTCTGTCACTTACCACTCTCCCATAACCAAAAATCCTGATGTACGTAGTGCCATCGAGGGAGTTAAATACATCGCAGACACCATGAAAAGTGACGAGGAGTCCAACAACGTGAGAATTTATCTCCGTCATTTTAGGCTCTACTTAATCATAATGCTTTCTTTCTCCTTCATTTTACCTCCTAGCTTTTTACAACTTTTGTTCTTCCAGGCACTTTTTGTTTTTAAGTACTTACCTCCTCCATCTTCATCTGACTACTTTGTCTTTCACTCTGTTTGTTCATTTAGGCCGCAGAGGAATGGAAGTTTGTCGCTATGGTACTGGATCACATTCTTCTCTGTGTGTTCATGGCCGTTTGTATTATTGGCACTTTAGGGGTGTTTGCCGGACGCCTGATTGAGCTCAGCATGCTGTGAGAGTCCAAAGGCCCAACTGAAGCCTGGGACTGGAGTGACTCGACTCTCTGCTGAGCTGGAGCAAAGAGGCTGCTTGGAACAGTGTGCTTAGACAACAACTGGAAAATAAAACACACACAGCACGTGTTTCTCTTTATTTAAAGTATATCTGTTATAACAGTTGCTCCTTCCCTCAGAATGTCAGTACACTGTGTTTATTATATTTATCTTGACAAAATGAAGCAGAGAAACATGAGAACGCGTGGCATTTATTTTACGTGGAGTGTATTATATTTGATTCTGTTTATTTTATATGTTAGATTTGTTTAAAATGTTTTTATTTTTCTTGGTTTGTGTTTTCCGTGATAACCAATGTACTTGAATGGCTTGATATTTAAAAAGGGCAAATGATGAATAAACTGTTTTTGAGTGTATATAACTGCCCATTAAAAAAAACTAAACCTAAAAGAGCAAACAAATGGTGGATGATATTGCTGTTTTATTTGGTCTGATTATTATACGTTTCTTTTATGTTTTTGATGATGCATACAGGCCTGGTTGAAAAATTAAACTTTTTTCTTTGAATGCATGAGTTTATGAGTTTTTTTCTCTCTCACACAGTGACCAGAAATCAACATCAAAATTTTCAAATTAAAAAACTTTAATGTCTATCTCCACAGGGAAGAAAATTGCCAATAGACAAACGACAAAAATATTGAATCCCCCACAAAAAAATAAAAATAAAAAAACCTTATACATTTAAATGATTTGATCTTAAAGTCCTATTTTAAATAAGTAAATTTAGAGTTTATCTATGTTAACTGACATGTCTGTTACTTCCACATTCACACAGAGCACAGCTTTTCTATTACACAGTCAACTCTACAGAGTTTGACAGATGTTTGTTTGCGCTCAGCTCGAGGCAGTCGCACACATCTGGAAACGTTGCATCACAGACAAATGTCCCGGATAAAGGGAACGAAGAGAGACTGTTGGTGGAGGAAGAAAAACTGGGTAAAAACACGAATTTCAAGATCTCACGTTTTATTTCAAACATTGAGCTGCACTTCCCTCATCCAAAGAGATGTGATACTGCTGAGACGTACTGAATTGTTGCATGCAGTATTAAAGCGATAAGCTTTGAATGTTATTCCAGTGAATATGATGGGGTTGTAGAAGCAGCAGCACGCGCTTGGCGGAAACAGTGGGGAGAAGTTGTGTGTGTTTTCTGCCATGAAGGAGTGGCCCAAAACTTTAGTTCCTCTGTGTTTGTGTAGTAGATGCTTCATGATGGTAATCGTTGCTGCATTTGTTTCGTAAGCGGAGAACGCGGAGAAAAAAAGATTCAAACCACCGGTGAGTGTTTGCAGCATGTTGCTTTCAGACGCGCGATTTAAGGATCTAATTTATGATTTGTTCTCGCCGTGATTTATTTATTGTCGCAAACTTGTAAGTGTTGTGTGGGTTGTTATTAAGTTGTCAGTTTTTCTTATCCACAAAAGAACAAACGTTGCCAAATTTTTAGAGGAAGTCTCCCCTACAGGGTTGCCAGTTTGAGCGTGTATGTGGCAGGGAAAATAAGAAACATTTTTTTTTCTGTATTATTTAGAGACACAACAAATCTAAAGTGTAAACTAAATTCCACTAGTTTTTATGAAGGACCATTGTCAGTTCACAATTACTTAAAATCTGCTTGTTGCTGTTGGTGCCCTCGAAGACTCGTTCTTTTGAGACGGATCTTTTCAGTGAATCGGTTGAAATCGAGCCGAGCAGTTTGTTCACGAATGCTCGGCTCGATTCCCAAGAACCAGTTAATGAGATTATAATCAGAGCAATATTTGGAGTGAGCTTTGGATTTCAGTTATAGGGTGATAAATTGATGTAATTGGGAAATATCAGAGAAGTTACAAATAATAACTGGAAATAGGTTTTCTACTTGATTGTATGAAAGTTTTGTCAAAACACATACAAGTTGGTTTTAAACCATTTTATAAAAGCGTGGAGAAAGGTTTTCAGCCAAAAGATGTAAATTATTTTGAATGTTGTATAATGTAAATCAAATTTTATTAAGCTGAATAATGTATTTTGTGCGCTGAATCATGGGTCGAGTCATTTTTTTGTTACAGGCTCTTTAAAAATTGAACTGTTCGAAAGAATCGATTCGTGGACATGAGTCGGACTACTGTGAGCATGTGTTTCTAATTGAAAGGCCATGGGGTCTCCACAGTTAGATACAATGCAAGTCATATGCTCTTCCCCTTCCTTTTTTTCTTTCAGTTTTTTTTTTGTAATCCTTTCTTCTTGTTAATTAAAGACCACATTAGTTTGCGGGGTCAATGTCCCAAAGTTTTTCCAAGTACAGTATTGTTTTATTTTTGCTTTATTCATTCCTTTTAAATTGGTTACCTCAAAGCGCTTCGTTAGTGTGTTAAGTTGGCTTAGGATTTTGTGGATTTGTGTGTTTACCGATGTAGAAAATTAGGGATGTCAATGTCAGTGTGTCTGACAAATTAGTACCATGAAAGTGCTTTGATCATTGTAAAGCTGAGAAATGTTGCTTTCAAGTGAGATTTATTTCTTGCATTAAATACTTTTAATTTATTAGACGATGACTGCTGATGTAAATACCAATATGTGCTTGATTTTCTTTCATGTGGTTTTAAGCAAGTGTGAAATGTGACACTATAAGCAACTGTTGGTTTAAAATCACAGTTGCTGTTGGGGCTGTGAATTTAGGGGTGCCGTTTTAGTGAGAACTTAAGTAGGAACAAGTAATTTTAGGCTTCATAAGCCACACAAATAGAGTTCTTTCTCCATATTAACTTCCTCTCTATGACTGTGACTGTCATAACTTCTTCTTCTTGTCTGGTGGTTTAGTGTTCTATCTGACTAGCCATTCAAAGAGAGTCAGAAATCATGTGACGGGATCTGAGATCATTCATTAGCTACAGGCTTGCATGTAGCCAGAGGTGTCAACATTATGCTGAGTTTCAGAAAGGATGTGGACAATAAAGTGATGGAAAGACAGAATAAGAGACAGTGGCCACATTATTTGCTGGAACATGCTCGCATTATGCTAGCTGAGCATTCGTAAGCTGCTTTTTTGCTTTTGATGTGGAATTATAAGCAAGCATTGCAAAGCACAAATGACTGAAATTCTGCTTGACACTTTCAAATAAACTAATGCATGGTTCTCTGTGGGTGGCCCCTTCCTGCCTGATTTTGCATGTATGATATAGCAGGTTGTGGTTGAATGACTCCAACCATCTCTTCAGTTCTTACTTAAGTTAACATTATTTAGAAAGGTCTGGATAATCTTTAACCTTCAATTGTTGACATTGGCCTTACTTTTGGATTCCATAAATTCAGGGTGCATCCCAAAAGAGTGTCAGCCAACTTTTTCAGCTGCCTTGGTTCCGGAAGTATTTTACCCAATCATTTTTTCCCAAAGAGATTAAAAAAAAGTATGTGGTAAAGCCATGAACCAAACCAACCATCTATCAGGTCAATCGCAACATTACAAACTTTCAAAATTTAACAAAACAACAAAGTCCCAAAACTGTAAAGCCGGCATGAAGCCAAAGTTCGTATATCCACGTATATTTGAGTGAAACTGCTTCTAATTTGATTAAAGTTTACAAGGGCACATGAATAAATAAAATGTGCACAAATAATTTATTGTAGATACTTCAATATTCCATAAAATCTTTTTTATTTCACGTTGACTTTCGCATAAAGAACTATGAAGTGTTGTTGTGAATGACAGATTAAAAAAAAGAGAGATAAATAAAATAAAACTTTGATTTAAAGAGGTTAGATACAACATATTTTACATTTATTGCAAAATATGCATATAATTACAAACATTTGAGTAATTTGAGAGAGTATGGGGAGACTGTCCCTATCATGTCATTTGCAGGACTTCATGGGAGTGGGTGGGTCATAAAGAGTTATTTTGACAAAATTTGCTTGTTTCGATTGTCTGATTGGGGAAATTGCTCTGCAGAATCATGAGTTAATTCATTTCTCAGCAGGAATTACTCTGTTATTATTAAAAATATAAGTTTAAAATAATGAAGAAGACAAAGGCATATACACAGCTAAATTAACTACAACAGACCGATGTATCGATATTATCGATATTACCAGACCGATATTATCGGCCGATATTAGGCATTTTCCATAATATCGGTATCGGCAGTTATAATGGCAGATAAATGAATATTTAAAAAATAAAATAAAAATTGACGAAACACGCTTCAATCATCTCTCCTTGGCCTGTTATATTGAAAATGTATGTTTTACAATTTGCAGTATGATGTTATCTATTGCTAATGTAACGGTTTGTATATAGTTAAATTCCTGCTTAAATGGGGTAAGCGCCATCTGCTGGCGTCACTTGGTATTGCGCCACGGTGTTAAAAATAGCGAATTCTGGGTAATCCACAGCAGAATTTCCGGTAACTGCTGTGGTAAGTCGCATGTTAAACGCTGCAGAGACAAAAATAGCCTAAGTGCCTTAAATATCACTACACAATGTTTATTTCACTGTATTTTTGTAATAATGTAATTAAGAGATGTATGCTGTTTGTCTGATGTTGAGTGAGTCACTAGTTTAGAGTTTAATGTTATATGTAGCACATGTTGCATGGCTGCCGCTAATGATATTCCTCCATCTGATTTACTGTGTGTTGTGTAGGGCTGTGTTTTATTCTCTGTTTGCGATGTCATGCCACTCCTGATTCGTTTTGGTTTCCCCGTGTGCAGGTAATACTGAATTTGATGTTTATTTTTGTTATGTGGAAAATGTACGTTATAACAGCAATATTCCTGTTGAAAAGAATTTGCTGTTTTATAAACTGTTTCATATGGCAGAAATACTTAAGTCAGAGATTTTATTTATTTTATTTTATTTATTTCACATTTTTCTGTGGGAAAGACAACGAATTGTGAAACATTTCATTCAAACATTCCACTATACGATCACACTGGAATCAGTTAATAAAAAAGAGCAGAATTTCCGGTAACTGCTGTGGGCTGTGTTTTATTCTCTGTTTGCGATGTCATGCCACTCCTGATTCGTTTTGGTTTCCCCGTGTGCAGATGTTCCATATACACAACAAGAGTAATAAATAGAGGACCGTCACATTGGTGCCGTGACTGTGAGTGAGTGGACGTCTGCCTGCCATTGACGGACCGCTGTAGCTGTGGCCTTGTTCGGACATCGTGGACTGTAGTTTCCTGAAGAGGACATCTTTCTGTTATCCTTTGCACATTGAAAAAGGACTCTACATGATCTGATAATTTTTTTTAAATACTTTGATTATTTTGGGTCAGTTTTCTTTTGTTAGTTGATCTGTTTTGGGTTTTTTTTAGTATAGTCACAATGAGCGAAACAGGACTTGATTCGCCAGTTCATACTCCAGCTTCTGTTGGTAGGGGGAGAGGTGTACTGCAGATACCTGCTTCCTTTCTTGGTAGTCCTGTTGTTGGCAGTAATGTTGCATTAGGAGTGAATAGAGTTGACTTTTCAATGGGACCCCCTGACATTACTGATATGCGCAACCCACACAGGCAACCAGTCACTAGCTCGACACCACACACTGAACATGTTGCCTCTGATTTGTTAGATCAAGTAGGCTCAATTGCTCTAATGATTGGAGAACAGATAGCCGACAGTATTATATCTCGTCTCAACCCACCGAGTTTGGAGTCAGACACACAGAGCAACCCACATACTGGCAGAACCACTCTGACTCGACCTTCCAACAATTCAGATATATCCCAGGCTCACTTAGTCACACACAGGACCGTCAAAGAGCCTCCTTCCTTCAGAGGGGATGGATCTGACTCAGTTGACATAGAGGAGTGGGAAGACCTGATGAGGGCTTTTGTTAAGAAGGGAAATATGAATACTGCCGAACATGTTGAGGAGATACTTGTTCATCTGCGGGGCAGAGCAAAGGATGTAGTAAAATTTTGGATTAGGAACAGCGAATCTGACACCCAGACCAGCCCCAATGCCATCTACAGTCTCCTCCGTAAGCATTTCAGTTGCAGTCAGTACTCACAAGTTCCCCTCTCTGACTTTTACACCACTTTGCCTAATGAGAATGAAGAGCCTTACGATTACTGGTTGAGGTTAAACAAAGCAGCAGATGTAGCCTCTGAATGCCTGAAGGAGCAAGGCAAATCATTTGATAATCCAGGTACAGAGATTGCCCACATGTTTATCCGCCATTGTCCCAGTAAAGATTTGACTCTGACCTTTCGATCCAAGTCCATTGACAAATGGTCCGCCCATGAAGTGCAAGCTGTGTTAAATGCCCATAAATCAGAGTCCAGCTCCAAGCCTGTTAGCACGACATGTTATGGAAGGCCTGATAAAACAAATGTTTGCAAAGTTGATGTTAATGCAGCTTCTGTCGCTTGCAAGGATTCTGGATCACAGCAGTGTGGATCTACAGAGCATGCTAATCTAGAGAGAGTGATCGACATGCTAGAGAAAGTTTTAATGCGCAATTCCTTCACACGACAGCCTAGCTCAGGTCGACGCTATGGCAGACTCCCAAGGATTGATGGTTTAGACGTCTTACCTTGTGCTATCTGTAACGATGGAGCTCACTCTGCTCTAGTCCACTGCCGTGAGCATCGCTTGTGTTTTCAGTGCCTGTCACCTGGCCATGCCCGACGCAACTGCCCTGTGCCACGGGCTACTCTACCCCCGTCCAGTCAGGGAAACTAACAGATCTGCGTGAGGGGGAGGGCAGCGTAGATCTAATTAGTCAGCCTCCTATCTGTGATACTGAGGATTGTGAGTCTGTATATGAAGTACAGAAAAGCATTGCCCCTTCTGAAAAGACTGTTATTTTTCAATGCTTGCAGCACGTTCCCATGACTGATAGTCTGTTCTATACCCCTGTGTCTGTCGAGAATGGTCCAACACTGAAAGCACTGATTGACAGCGGCTCTATGGCATGCACTATAAGCGAAACAGCAGAAGCTAACTTGTTGGAAGCCAATCCTAACCTGATAAAGACTCCAGCGGATAATGTCGTCGTTGTTGGATGTGGAGGTCATAGAGTTAACCCCACAGGGATATATGATGTCACAGTCTCCGTTTATGGATGTAAAATGATGCTCTCTGTTCTGGTTGTGACAGGTCAGACAGAAGAACTCATTATTGGCAGCAATGCTATCAAACCGCTGTTGACTCTACTGAGGTCCACTGGCAGCTACTGGAAGTTGATGAACATGCCAAGCGGAGATGGGATGGATGAATCCTTTCAGTTTTTGTCTTTACTTTCCAACACAGAGAGGTGGAAAGGAGATATTGTGCCAGACAAAGTGGGAACAGCCAAACTCAAAGGCAGTGTAACATTACAGCCGCGGAGTGAATATCTAGTTTGGGGTAAACTCCCTAGCAAGGCCATGGTATCAGTAGGTAGTACTGTAGTCATAGAGCCCACCCAATCTAATTCCAGGCCTAAACAGATCTTGGTCGGCAGAGTAATCACACCACTATTTGGTGATGGCTTTGTCCCAGTTAAACTAGTTAACCCCACTGATCGCCCTGTTACACTGAGAAGGAATGCAAAAATTGCTGATGTGTCCCCATGCATTGCAGTAGAAGATTTCACAGAGGTCGAAAGTGTCCAGTGTAACATCCAGTCAAGTGCCCAGTCTTGTCACATCTCCGAACAACCACTACTGTCGGAAGAGGAGTTGACCAACATTCTAAGGGACTTGGGATTGAACGATTTAGACCTAAGTGCATGTGAAGTCTCTCTGGAGTGGAAGAACAAACTCCTTAGCATCATCACAGCTCATGAGTCTATATTCTCAAGGAATAAGATGGATTGTGGTCTGGCCAAAGATTTCGTGCACAGGATCCGTCTGGTTGACGACAAGCCGTTTCGTCTACCTTACCGTAGGATACCACCAAGTCACTATGAGAAGCTGCGGACAGCACTGAATGAAATGGAGGAGTGTGGCATAATAAGAAAGTCTAACAGTGAGTACGCATCACCCTTAGTAATTGTGTGGAAGAAAAATGGCGACCCCAGGATCTGTAATGATTTCAGATGGCTTAACGCCAGGACAGTAAAAGATGCTCATCCTCTCCCGCACCAGTCGGACGCACTCGCTGCTCTAGGTGGAAATGCCTTTTTCTCCACTATGGATCTAACATCCGGGTTTTATAATGTGCCATTACACGAGGAAGACAAAAAGTATACAGCATTCTCATCACCATTCGGACTCCACGAATACAATCGCATGCCTCAAGGCCTTACAAACAGTCCCGCTACATTTATGCGTATGATGATGACGATTTTCGGTGACAAGAACTTTACTAGTCTGTTGTGTTACCTTGATGATCTTTTGGTCTTTGCTCCAACAGAACAGGTTGCACTCGACCGATTGGAGATGGTGTTTTCTAGATTGAAGACTCACAATTTGAAGCTTTCACCAAAGAAATGTAATTTTCTAAGAAGGTCTGTGAAATTCTTGGGCCACATTGTTGGTGAAGACGGAGTCTGTACTGACCCTGGAAAGGTTCAGGCTATCGCTGATGTACAGGTGTCTGATTTAATGGATTCCGATGGCGTCACTCCTTGCCCAAAGAAAATCAGATCATTTTTGGGTATGGTGTTGTATTATCAACATTTTATTGAGAGATGTTCAGCCAAAGCGAAGCCCCTCTTCAAGCTCATCTCCCAGCAGGACACGCAGTGCTTCAAAACGAGAAGGAGGCATTCTAAAAAGAAAGCTGTTAATGTTAAACTAACACCATCAGACTGGACTGAGGAATGCAAATGTGCATTTGAGACTTTAAAACATGACTTGCTTACCAGTGTAACGTTAGCTCATCCTGATTTTGATGGCCATTTCATTTTGGCCGTAGATGCGTCTTTCGATGGATTGGGAGCAGTACTCTCTCAGATTCCCAGAGGCAGTGACATGGCGAGGCCAGTGGCGTTTGCGAGTAAGACGCTTTCACGCTCCCAGATGAACTACCCCGCGCACAGGCTTGAGTTTTTGGCCCTAAAATGGGCAGTATGTGACAAATTCCATTACTGGTTGAAAGGTCGTCATTTTACAGCTTGGACTGACAACAACCCACTCACATACATACTCACCAAACCAAGACTCGATGCATGTGAGCAGCGTTGGGTAGCGAAGCTGGCATCCTATAGTTTCGATCTGAAGTATGTGCCAGGAGCTAAGAACATAGTGGCAGATGCACTCAGCCGGGAGCCTTTTGTCAAGTCCTGTGTCAGCCATCGCCTTGTGACAGAGCCATACCATGCTTTGTTAAATCAACTGAATGGTGTGAGGGACGAAACAGTTCAAGATGCTTTCAGATGCACAAACAACTGTCAACTTGTGAGTACGGATGTTGAACCAGGCTCTGACCTCTCCCTCACACTTTCTCAGGGCAAGTTAACATCGCAGGAAATCTCCGCCCTCTTGGATGCACACTGCTCTGGTGGGACAAGTCGTGTAATGGGGACGGGGGTCATCCCTCATTTGGAGAAGGAGGATTGCACCACTGCTCTGCCTAAAAGCACTCTTCTGACTATGCAGGAGCAAGACGGCACCGTGAGTAGAGTGGTTTACTATATCCGGAGACACAAGAGACCTGACAAACGTGAGCGTGCAAAGGAGCCTCGTAGTGTAATCAAGCTGCTCAAGCACTGGAACAAACTCACTCTGCAAGATGGTATGCTATTTAAAGTGAAGAGAGATCACAACATGAACAAGCAGCTCTATCAGTTCATTGTACCAGATTGCTTAAAACAACAAGTTCTCCATGGCATACACGATGCCGCAGGTCACCAAGGACGCTCACGTACACTGTCATTGGCCAGGCACCGCTTTTTTTGGACAGGTATGGCGCATGATATTGTGCATTATGTCAGAAACTGCAAACGTTGCATTGTTGGTAAGACGCCAGAGCCGGATGCTCGTGCTCCTTTGGAGAACATTCACACCACAGAGCCCATGGAATTGATTTGTATTGATTTCTGGTCAGCGGAGCAGGGAGATAAGTCTGTTGATGTTCTCGTAGCGACGGATCACTTCACCAAAATGGCCTTTGCTTTTCCTTGTAAGAACCAGTCAGCAAAACAAGTGGCCCGCCGTTTATGGGATGATATTTTCTGCATATATGGCTTCCCGAAGCGCGTGCATTCTGACCAGGGGGCTAACTTCACGAGTAAGCTCATCAAGGAACTGTTGGATATGGCTGAGATAAAGAAATCTCACACTACCCCTTACCACCCGATGGGTAATGGGATCACAGAGCGTTTCAACAGGACCTTGGGGAGCATGATCAGAGCTTTACCCCCAAGTCCAAAGCAAAGTGGCCCCAGTCATTAAGAGTGCTGACTTTCTGTTATAACTGTACTGTCCACGAAACAACCGGCTTTGCACCATTTTACCTTATGTTTGGGAGGATTCCCAGACTTCCGATTGATGTAATGTTTCAACACGTTCTAAAGAATGATCTTGTCATTACCCATTCAGAGTTCGTGTCCAATCTCAAAAGAGACTTGAGTGAAGCAGCAAAGGTTGCTCAGAGGCACAGTTCAGCTGAACAGGCTCGTCATGCTAAGCTCTACGACCGTAAGGTAAAAGGCTCTCCATTGACTGTTGGTGACAGGGTTTTGTTGGCAAACAGAGGCGAGAGAGGAAAACGGAAAGTTGCAGACAAATGGGAGTCCACGGCTTACGAAGTGTTGTCAGTAAGATCGGCAATCAATGTCTACCGTGTGAAGGACACAGTCACTGGCAAAGAAAAAACAGTTCATCGGAACTTGCTCCTTCCTGTCAGTTTCCTGTTGAGAGACCATGAAGTTGACCTGTCGTCTGATTCTCTGTCAGTTGGAGCTCGAAGCGATCAGGGTGATCCTCTGCCTTGTGAACAACTCGACAGCGATGAAAAAACATTGCGGTGGATTTTGCAATCTGGAGAGAATGCTGAACTTGATGAGGTTGTTGTCATGATTCCCAGCTCATCTAACCCAGTAGAGAATACTCATGTGGATGATGTTGTCGACGACAGTCATGGATGTACTGGCCAGGACAGGGATGTGAGCCAGTCTTCATTTCTAGATGATCAGTCTGCCCACAGTCACTCCGTACAGCTCCCCACAGACTCTCCAGCTGATCCACACTCACATGTTCCCAGTAGTGTAGACTCAGAATCAGATGAGCCTGTAGTTAATCAGCCTAGGCGAGGCATGACTATGACTAGGATTGGTAGGACCATTAAACCTCCAAAGAGATTAATTTGTGAGATGAATGACCAGGTTGTGGAAGATTCAAGATCTTCAGTGAGTTCTTTTGTTACTCTAATGAGACATGTTTTTGCAGTGTAGCCTGAGACTTTATAATGTACCTTTTGAGTAATTCTGTTCCTGGGTGTAGACAGATACTCCATTTTTTTTTTGGAGTTTTTGAGCTGTGTCAATTAGGAGAGGTGTAAACGGCATCTCTTGTATCTATGTTAAGGTTTAGGGTTTGGTACCACCCTATCCTTGCATATCTCTGTAGGAGGAGTTTTGTAACTGACTATAAGACATTAACGCTCAAGGTAATTCATTCATTTGTTTAAAAAATGTTTTTTTTTTTCTCTTTCTCTTTTCCCCTTCTTTCTTTTGTTTTCTCTGTTTTGGATACGCTACCCCGATTTAGCAGAAATTTAGGGGGGTGTATGTAACGGTTTGTATATAGTTAAATTCCTGCTTAAATGGGGTAAGCGCCATCTGCTGGCGTCACTTGGTATTGCGCCACGGTGTTAAAAATAGCGAATTCTGGGTAATCCACAGCAGAATTTCTGGTAACTGCTGTGGTAAGTCGCATGTTAAACGCTGCAGAGACAAAAATAGCCTAAGTGCCTTAAATATCACTACACAATGTTTATTTCACTGTATTTTTGTAATAATGTAATTAAGAGATGTATGCTGTTTGTCTGATGTTGAGTGAGTCACTAGTTTAGAGTTTAATGTTATATGTAGCACATGTTGCATGGCTGCCGCTAATGATATTCCTCCATCTGATTTACTGTGTGTTGTGTAGGGCTGTGTTTTATTCTCTGTTTGCGATGTCATGCCACTCCTGATTCGTTTTGGTTTCCCCTTGTGCAGGTAATACTGAATTTGATGTTTATTTTTGTTATGTGGAAAATGTACGTTATAACAGCAATATTCCTGTTGAAAAGAATTTGCTGTTTTATAAACTGTTTCATATGGCAGAAATACTTAA